GAGAGCCGTATGTGACAATTGTTTTTTTATGAAAGATGTGGAAGTCCTAAGTGTCTTCCTCCATTGTCTTCTGGACAGGATTGGAAGAAGGGAGACAAAAATGGACACTGGCTCAAGAATAACTTTCTGTGTCAATCGATTGCCCTGTGTTTTTGGTGACTCCAGCTTTTATAGCTTTATGGTGGGAAAGGGGTCACAAGTTCGTCCTTTGTTGACAATGACTGTGTTCTTTTACAACTAAGTGTCAACTTTCCCACCTGATTGTTGACTTTAGAGGTGACATTATCCAATTCTCTGCAAGGAGAGTTTTTCTATTGGCGGATGTTTACATTAAATGTTCAAAAAAACTATTTTAACAGTTTACACATTTAAAAAAAAAGGGTTAACATTGATATTAAAAATTATTTTAAAATCCGCAGTCTTACAATCGTAATATTCCACTTGAAGATGTCTACTTGAAGGTAGATGAAAAAAAAGAAATTATTTAATGGTTTAATTGCTGGGGTTTGGTTGATATTGTGAATAGTTTTTTGTTTGCTTGTATAACCTGTATTGTGTTGTTGTTGATCTGGATAATTATATTGTAAAAATAAAAAAGTTTGATTTTTGTACAGATTTTTTGTACAAATCCGTAAAGGTATAATATAAAGAAGTCAGGTGAGTGGATAAACATTTTTGGAACTGTATCTTCAACTTTAGATTTAAGACTCAATAACAAACAGAGAACAAGATCAATTTAAATTAAGATTCATTGGTTAATAAGCTAAAATAAATAAAATTACACAATAAATATCACAATATACCAAAATAAGAAATAAAGTTAAATTATACTACACCACAACACCTTAAGTTGCTGAGAAAAATTTATTAAAACATAACTAACAGAAGAATTATAAAAATATATATATATATATATATATATATATCTTGTACAATGTATAAAAAATAAAATAAATCAACAAATAGATATAATATTATATATCATGTAATAATATAGTATATAACATATGAAAAATGTAAAAACTTCAAAAATAAAAATCAAGGCATAAGTTGTGAGCTCTTAAAAAAACTTTTTAACTAAGTACTTCCACGCAGATGGTAGCCCTTCTGCATCCCTTGCATTAATGCACGTGTCTTTCAGCTTGCCCTTATAAATTTCGATCTTTTCTGCACTCATCGCCAAAGTCAGGGAGTGCATGGACTTACGATATCTGTCTCTTCCCATTTTACTATGGAGCCTTCAGCCTGTGCCATCTGAGATAATATTGTGGCATTGGATCCCTTATTGATATTATATTTGTGCTCCTTCAGTCTGATTTCCAAATTTCTTGTAGTAATACCAATATAGTTTTTCCATCTGAGGTATTTTTTTGAATGAATCAAGCCCAGTGATCCCTCTTTCCATTGAGGTTTCCCAAGACTCTGAATTTTTTAGGACAAAGTTTGGGCTTTGTTTTAGAACTTCTTTGATCTTCATCGGGACTTCTATTAGGTCCCAAAGGATGAATGTTGAAAGATCACTCTTAGCTACTCTTGTTGTTTGTTTCTTAAGGATCCATTTCATTTTTTTATTATATTTCTTCCTTAAATTAATGAAAGAAATTTCAGACCTCAAAAAGTCCAAATTGATTTTGAAAAGAGCTCCAAACCTATATAAGATATTAAGGAATGGCAAGAACAGCATTAATAAAGAAGGAAAAGCAGGAGTGTACAGAATTCCTTATGAAAACATGGAATAAGGAATCAAGAAAAACTATATTGGTGTTACTACAAGAAATTTGGAAATCAGACTGAAGGAGCACAAATATATCAATAAGAGATCCAATGCCACAATATTATTTCAGGTGGCTCAGGCTGAAGGCTCCATAGTAAAATGGGAAGAGACAGATATTGTTAAGGGCAAGTTGCAAGACAACGTGCATTAATGCAAGGGATGCAGAAGGGCTACCATCTGTGTGGAAGTACAGTGGTACCTCAGGATACGAACGCCCCAGCATACGAAATTTTCAGGATACGACATGAAATTCGAACATATTTTTGCTCCACGATACAAACAAAAACTCACCATACGACGTTACATTAGTTCGCAGCGCCATTTTTTATTCACTTCTGTTCGCGTGTTTGCTTCGTCGTGGAAGGATCTCGCTCGATAAAGGAAATCTTGAGGTATTACCAGAAAGTGACTGATTTTATTGAAAAGAAATATCCCAAAAAGGTTCACACTGGCCGTATTGCTGCTCAGAGTAATGGCATTTGCTTAAGTCATTTTAGAAACATTTTAAAAAGTAGGCAAAGCCAAACCTCTTTGGATAGATATTTTACCAAGCGACCTCTATCGAGTGAAAGTGCTGGTGGAAGTGAAGGAAAGAAAAAAAAAGCAGTGAATAAAAATTTTTAAAAAAATATATAAAACAACACTAATTTTTTAATCTTTTCTAAGTTATTTTTAACTTAGAAAAGATTATGTTTACTTATGATTATGATAAAGATTATGATACTAAAACTTAACTTTTATGTTATGTAACTTACATAACATAAAAGTTAAGTTTTAGGATCATTTCCCTTCTCCCTCTCTTCCGCCACCAGTTTATACCTCCACCGTAGTCTATCTTGAAAGGTAAAGTGCAAATAAAACTATTATTTTTATCAATTATTATTCTATTATGGTTATTTATACATTTACAACTACAAAATGCATTTTTCAGTGTTTTCCTTACTATAGTTATTTTTATTAATTTTTAATGTACTACTTAGCTTTAATTTGAGTGTGTTTTTTGTGTTGGAACGAATTATTTGGTTTTACATGTAATCGTATGGGGAAAAATGATTCACCTTACGACATTTTCATGATACGATCCCAGTTTCGGAACGGATTAATTTCGTATCCTGAGGTACCACTGTACTTAGTTAAAAAATTTTTTAAGAGCTCACAACTTATGCCTTGATTTTTATTTTTGAAGTTTTTACATTTTTTTGTATGTTATATACTATATTATTACATGATATATAATATTATATCTATTTGTTGATTTATTTTATTTTTTTATACATTGTACAAGGTATATATATGTTTTTTTTTTTTATAATTCTTCCGTTAATTTTGTATTTGAATTTGTTCCATTGTATTTGTATTAGAATTTATATATTCTATTTTTAGAATATCGTTATTTTTTTTCTCTCAATTAACCTGAGTATGTCCAATTGATTTCACCGAAAATGTTAGTTACATTTTAATAAATTTTTCTCGGCAACTTAAGGTATTGTGGTGTAGTTTATTATTTGCTGACTGAGTTTCGTTGAATGTTAAAATAAATTATGGAAAAATTTAAATGATCATATGTTTCCATTGAAATTTATAGGCATTTTGTGGGAAATTGCCAAATTATTTTGAGAAGATATTTGAAGAAACTGAAAATACTTTGATAGATGATTTCTCGTTTATCTTTTTGTATCTTTCTGTATTTCTTCTAGTAGCTGATTATATAAAGTAAAACCCTGCTTAATGCAGGGGATGCGTTAAGCAGGGTTTCCTAGATGACAAAGCACTAAATGAAACAGCATTAAACGAGGTCATTTAACATAAAGTAAATAGAGATAGGGGAACAAGCAACCGAAAATAGAAAAATTTTACTTTAATTTTAAGTTATATTATACAAATTAATATAAAAATATGTTAAATAACACAAACATATGCACACAGAAATGTATAATAATATATTAATTAGTTCAATTTTTGCGATGAAGGTCCTGACATTTCTGAAATTCTTATTATTTTTTTTTTTTTTGCAATAAAGTTGTGAAGTTTCATTTGTTGCTTTTTTCTTTCCTTCAGCAAATGTCGGTAGCAGAAGATCTCATCCAAAATGCCTTGTTTTGCTTTTTCACTCCTTTCAAAATCTGGATCGTTTGCTACAATTTGATCAATGATTTTGATTATCTTACCAAACTTTTACTAAGGAAATCTGTAGAGAAATTTTTTGGGTTCTTCGTTTTCAGAATCTCTATTTTCCAGTTCCACATGAATTCCATGTTCTGCTAGTTATTGAAGGTCATCGTTGGTAAGGCTCTCACCAGAAATATGCTGTAAATTCTCAATATCTTGCTTGTCTATATCTCCTAGTCCTGCTATATTGATTAGATTGAGTTTGCAAGAATACAGCGATAGGTTCTTCTTGTTGAGAATTCTCGGATACCTTCAGCCATAACTTCTTCCACGCTTCATTTGTGCATTTATCAGTTTTAATTCTTGCCAAGCAAAGCTGTTATTGCCTATGGTATCCATGATGTTATATTTTTTCCAAAATTGCACCAAACAAACATAGATTTAGGGAGAGTACACCTTTTTGCCACTTTTTTCTGATTGGTTTGTGTTCGTAAATAATCGTATTATGTATGAATCTATAAAATTCCGCGATAATTTAAATCAGAGTAAATTTTGAGCTTTTTTTTTTAGGCTTTGAGCAGACCGTGTTATATTGAATCAACGTTAAGTGAGGCAGCATTAAGCAGGGTCTTACTGTATATCTATTTTATGATATGAGTAAGAATTATTGTTTCAATATTTGATCTGTAAATGTGTTAGAAAAGTTACAATAACTGGATATCAAATGTGTAAAACTGAATTTTTCACTTGTTTTAGTTGATGTGAAATATATATTTGTTGGAATTTTTTTCTGGTTCTTAGTATGTTAGAGTTTGTTTATAGATACAACTAGTTTACTAGTAGAGATTGTCTTAATATACTTTGGAATTTAAATATAATTCATTTATTAATGAATAGCTTTGTAGAATGTCTACATTAAATTAAGTTGTGAAAATAAAAAAAATTAATCATGAATGGATTAACCAGTGTACAAAATAATTCTTATTCACTTGAATGATTGATTTGTAAGAAATGTCATTTGCATTGAATACTTTCTTTTAGAAATTTTATTATATTTTTAATAAAAAATTATTTTATATTTACATTCAACTAAATTGCAAATTTTCAATATTTTCAGATAAAATATTTTATTTTTTCAAAACAAGAATGTCAGTTTTAGATTCAACAGTAGAACTTGTGCAGTTGTTAGAAAATTGGGAAGCTGAAAATGGAACTAATGCTGATCCTGCTTTCAAACACATACCTACTCTTACCAGGTATTTTATTATAGCATTTAATGCTAATTATTAATTTTTAATGATTGATATATAAATTTTTTTTAAGTTTTTGAAGTAAAATTTTTCCATTAAAATGGAGAATTGTATGCACATTATATACTATTAACTCCTTCTTGTCCATTTTTAAAAAAAAAATTTTAATTAAACATAAAAAATACTTAAAACTGAAAAAAAACGAAAGAAATGGTTAATTTTGGTTAAAAAGCTTCATCATTTAAGTTCCTTTGTCTCGCCTTTCTGTGAAATTTAACACTGATGAGTCATTGTTTACACATCTGGATGACCTTGAACACAGCTGGAGTCCGATTTCCCGGGGCATTCTCAGACGTCGCGGGAGGACAAGGGTTTAAACTAGGGTGACTACAGTTTCGCCATATATTTTTAAATATTTTTAAAAAATTATAATTTTTATTGCAATTTCCGACCCCCCAATTAATTAAACATATATATAATAAAATCTATTAATTAAAAAACTATCAGAGGTCGTTTTTGACATCAGAAAGCAGCTTTAAATAACTTTACCAAAGGAAAATCGGTGCACTACAACTTTAGAACAATTAATTAATTTTGATAAAAAACTCCCATTAAAAAATCATTAAAAAGCAATAAAGCATGAAGCGCGCGTCATTATAAGGTGATTAAAATCACGATAAAATTTTTTCGTGCGGGCAAAAAATTCTGAAAAAATTTGGGGACCTAAAAAACATTCCAAAAATTCAAAAAAAAAATTTCAAAAGTGGCCTTAACAACCGTTTTTTACGTAACGCTATGAAACTTGCTCGAGTCACACTCGAATGCGGCTCAGAAGGGGTTAAATATCAGTGTCCATCAGGGCCTGCCAAGCAACTGACAAATTCAACTCATCCTTGTGATTGATGCACATGGTGGTGAGGCTAGATTTATAAATGGAAATGGCCTCTAACCATCTCAGGTGTTCAGGGTGAGGCAAAGTGAGGATGACCCTTGCTTGGTTAAAGGCCGCTTCGATATTATGATCGGCCATATAAATAGCAAGGGCCATGGTATTCCTTGCATACTATATGTCTGCTCAATGTTCATGCACTCTGACTCCCAAAGTATGCTTGGTGGAGTCAATATAAATAAGGTCCCTATCACATCTGTGGTCCCTAAGAGGGATAGAGTAAATGCCTGGGAGTCTGTTCCAGTTGGGGGAGTCTTTCCCATTGCGGAGGATGATCAGACATCTCCTGTATGTGATCCAAACATGCCTTTTATTGGCAATCTCCATATATAATGATTTAATGTATGGATTGAATCGATTATAGGACAGTTAGAGCACAAGATCCTCCTGCGGTTCCTTCCAAACACCCTTTTATATAGAGGTACATAGATGACATCATCATTCTATGAAGGACTGACTGTACTAGATGTGACGGTGTTTGTAGAATCAGTTTGGTCTCAGTTTGTAGAATTGGTTGTTAAAATGATTTTAGATAAACCTTGGTAAATAGTTACCAGGGCTGAGGATATTAGTAGATCAAGCCCTCAACTCTGACTTATAGAATTTTAGAAAGTCTGACTTCAATTTACATTCTTGCCTCTAAATAATAATTTAAAATATACTTTGGTTATATTAATCCATGATCGGGCTATTTTTTAAGTGAATCATCAGACACTCTTGTCAAAACTGAAAATACTTATGGTTTTTTTTACATAGTTTTTTATTATCTTCACTATTATCATAATCTTCAACCACAATTAACACACACAATTTTTCCATCTGTGGTTACAGTAAAGTATTCAATCTTCTTAGCCATCTTGTATGAGTCTTTTGATGATTAAAATTTAGAATTAGCTAACACAATGTATTTGAATATATATTTCTGAAAAGAAAAATCAACAGTAATTAGTAATATGCAAAAAAAGATCATGATGTAGGCAATCATCATAAAATAAGATTTTGCATTGCAGGAGGCTCCTATGACACAAAAATATTATGTTAACATTTTTATCAGGAGCTTAACATAAAGTATATAAAGAGAAAACCTGCATCTGAATTGGTTCATTTAACTGACTCTTGTGTTCTGGTAAATACATAAAAAATTGGGATCAACCTATACTTGAGGAAAAGTTCCATATTTTGTATATAAATACTTCTCATGAAGTTTATTGACTGGACAGCCAGAAAAATCATCCACTTAGCAAAAAGACAATAGGGAGAACTACACTTGAAGGCATTAGACTAGTTCAAAGCTTCATTATCATATGTCATTTGTGCCAATTTTAGGATTTCTGTAGTAGAAAGACACACTTTAAAATAAAATTTAATTTTAATATTCTGTTTTTCAAATCTGTAACACAGCAATATGAACATAGTTTATATTAGATAACTTTCCAAAACTGGTAACTGATATTAATTTAAACACACATACCAGCATACTTCAAATTACTAATTTTTACTAATGTTTTCATCTGTATATAACAAACATCTTCAGTGTATATAATGCAGAACAAAACAGATAAATTAAAATTGAAGGTTTTATGAACACATTACAAATTCAGTTTAAAATTATTTCTCAAAAAAAATTATGTCTACAGACAAGAAATGAGAATATTTATAAATAAACTTTGTTATTATGTAAAAAATTTTTTTTGTAGTATTTTTTTTTTTAATCTAAAAAAATTTTCTGTTAGCTGAGGATGATTTGAAACAAGATCAAAAACGTTATTAACAACCTCAACTTTAGCTGTTTATTTATTTTGTTAGTATTATTAAAAAATATACAGTATATAAGAGTGGATCAATAAATAACCAGCCAAAAGTAACAGCATTGAATATAAACATTTTATTCTAACAATAATTGTCTTAGTTGTTCAGGCACTTATATGACTGTGACTCAAGTCTACATAATTTTGCATTCAAAGAATGTACTGGGACACTGGTGGAACCAATCATAGACTACAACTTGCACTTCATCATCCAAGAAAATTGCCTGTCTTTAAGTTTGCATTTTTTCAGTTCCCAAAAACATGAAAGTTGTAGGGTGACAGGTCAGGACTGTAGGGGAGATGCTCAATCCAAACTGCTCATCCAAACTGCTTTAGCAGGTTCTTTGTCCTTCTGGCCATGTGAGGACATGCTTTGTCATGAAGCATGATGATCTCATTTGTGTCTGTAATGCAGGCAAAGTATGCATTAATGCATAAACTGAACAAGGAGATGCTTCTGATGGTTGAAAAAGAGGGTAAGCAGTGTGGCTGCATATTGTGGATGTCCTAATTATTGCTTGTCTTTCATGCTTATCAGTTCTTTGCAAAATTGTTTTGCTTACACCTTAACCAGGCAAGACTTAGGTGTGTGGACCATACATTTTTTGCATTTGCCAGTGAATCCACAACTGCCAGAAACTAGGAACATGATTACACCATGCTGTTCAAATTTTTACACTTCCATTTTCCACCATGATTGTGTGAACAAATGACAGGCTATGGATATTTGCCTTATATAGAGATGTACAGTACCTTCCTTTCTTTGTGCATTCACATGCGAATTTCTGCTTCATTCAATGCTTATTGGCTAATAATTTATTGATTCACCCTTATATATAATAATTTCATTAAAATCTTTAAACTGATATATGTTGATGTACTGTACTTCTTATTTGAGAACAAATAATTTTTTAAAATATAGTATTTAGTCTGTGTATTGTCATAAATGGATTTATTGCAATACACATACACATTCCATTTACTAAATTAGTAATTGGAATTTAGTAAAATCATAAATTAATTTATGGTAAATATATAAATTATGGTCAGGTCTTATTCTAATATTTACTTAATGTCATAATTACATAGCTTGTAAATTATTTCTAAAATGTCTATTTTAAATGTATTTGATAGAATTGCTGAGCTAGTAGAAAAAGAAATGGAAGCTTATTTAAAAATGGATCCTGATCCTTTTGATGACCGACATCCAAGTGAGTGTGAAATACAAGAAATGTGTTCTATATTCTGGAACTAACTTTACATTTTAATTAACATAATGTTAATTAGAGCATAATAGTTTCATATCTATGAAAAAATTTTATGAAACATATTGTATGTTTTTTTAAATTGATGCTTTAATCTGATTACAAGGCTAAAAACATTCAATTTTAACCAGCAAATCTATAAAATCAAATGATTTTGGCAATCACTGCAGCCATTGTCAAGCTATGAAATAATAGAACTAGGGATTTCGCTAGCTTTTTCAAATCTGTAGTTTTTATTGCTAATGTTGTCTTGAAAATGGTAGCAAAACAAGTAATGTAAAAAAAATGCTTTTAACATAATAAAAATTGTAGATTTTATTTTATATCAGCCAGTACAAAATTAGAAATGCTATAACTTACTCATAGTTATACTAAAGTCACAATTGAAAGTGTGTCTGATTTTCTGGCACTGTACAGTAAAGGCTGCTTGGAAATCAAATTTTTTTTGTGGTGGACCATTGATTGACATATTCATCAAATTGATAACATTTATTACATCTAGTCTATTGCATATTGGTGTTGTAATGAGATTCATTTCACTAAAACCAATATAATAATAATTTCACTTAAAATTATCACACAGCCATCTTGATCTGCTACACTTGTTCCTTCTATCTGTAGATACACAGTAGCCACTTGTTATATTGCAGATTTGGATATGTTTTTTTTTTTTGTCGTCCTCCAGATAAAGCAGGGTTTGTCCAACCTTTTTTCCTACTGGGCCAAATTAGAAATTTAGGTATATTCAGTGGGCCACAAAGGTACTTTATATAAATATATGCTTTTAAAAGTTTAAAATGTGAACATCAAATTTTAATAACAAATATATATAATTACAAAGAATACTGTATTATTGACAGTAAAAACCATTATACTCATACAAAATAAAAATAAATTCAATGCAATTTTTGACATTTCCTTTTTTTTTATAATATTGTCAATATCTGCTTTTATGGTACTAAATCTTAATGCTAAGAATGTTAGTTAGATGGGAATCACTCAACCTATTTCTTTTAGCAGTTTTGATGTTTTTATTGCATGAAAAGAATTGCTCACAACAGTATGTACTATCCCACATGCATAGCAGTTTTCTAGATAAATTGACAATTTAATTAAATTTATTGAAAGATTGAACTTTATAAAATTCAAGAAGTTCTCTATGATAAGTTTTCAAAGATTTGCTTTGTAGTTCAATGAATTCTAGATGGTATTCGGCTGGTGCTTCCACATAATTAAATGAAAATGAATGACTAAATAATTTTAATTCAGTTTCTATTTTTCTGAAGTCAGAAAATCTGGTTGTAAAGTCTTTTAACAGAACTTCACATAATTTGCTATATTTTTCAAAGTTAACAGGAAATTCTTTTCTTTGTAATAAACTCTGAAAATGCACAAGTTCACACGGCAATTTTATCATGACAAATAAGGCAGATAGTATTATTGCATGTTTCAATTATGAAATATTTTTCTGGCCGAAAGGTATTGAATTTTCTCTTTTCTTCTGTTATTTTTGCTTTCTTAGTAGTAGATGCCATGACCAAATTCTTGGTTATTAAAATTATAAATTTAAAGTTGATGAAATAATTACGAATATAATTGGAGGTTGAAGACATTTAAATTATTACATTAGCAAAAGAAATATACATACATACATACATACATACATACATACATACATACATACATACATATAAAATAATCTGTATTATATACCTGTAATTAGAAAGAATGTCAATGGAAAGGATGCTAATTTATTCTTTATAGAAATAAAGAATAAATTAGCCCCTTCAACTTTTGCATTAGGCCTAGCCTTGAGTCACTAAAAATGGCTGGCACTCTTTTGAAAAGAGGGATTATGTATCTTTTTCATCAGCCTGATGAAAAAGATACATAATCCTCATTCTTTGAGCCTGATGAAAAAGATACACAATCCTCATTCGTTGCTCATTCTTTATCAATAACATCATCACTTCATTACAAAAATCTTTGAAACTGAAACAATCAAAGTGACAGACCACGCCACCAACTTTTTTGATTGGTCAGTTACAAATTATGTCATGAATTATGTCATTACGACATCAAAGTGTATCCAGTGAATGAGAATAATTTTTATGACATACTTTACGAAAATAAAGGAAAATGTACCTAAAAAATTTAGGGTACAGTGGGTTGCATAAAAATATTGAGTGGGCCACAGGCAATTGATACCTTAAAACAGGATCCCTGTTTTAAGGTATCAATTGCCATTATTGAATTTCTCTTTCGCAACAAAATATAGTATTTTATTACTATCAATGTCCTTGAAACTACAAACAATAAATTCGTGAAGATATAAATAAGCAAAACAGGTGGATAGATCAATTATCATTTATGTTTTCTTTTGATATTAAAAGTTGTTTGTTTATTGGTTTTAAGTACTGTCTTTTCATTTACAAGTTTCAGTGAATTTGAAATTTTACACCTTTATGTAAATTGACCCAATCTGCAAGTATGAAATTTTGAATTCACTGGGTAATGTGTAAGAAGAAAATTTCTTTATTACTGAACAGAAAATTCTAAAATTTTTATACAGTAGTAATTTTATTTTGCTTTTTAGAGAATTTTTACTCTTTGTAATTTTATAGGTTTTGATGTTCTGTTATATGTTCAATATTTATTTTTTAAATTTTCAATTACAACATCTATAATTTTTATTGAAAAACATAAATTACAGTCGACCCCTCCATAACATGGTTCATATAGTTCGGATTCCTATATGCCAGCGAAAAAATTGCGACATTATTCGTACAAACACGCTAAAAAACCTTTTATAATTCAGTAAAACGTCATCGCCGACTCATGTCGCGACAGGATTGGTTGAATCAGACCAATAGCGGATATTGTACAAACTGTTGAGTTTAAACGAGCAGCAGACCTACTAAAAACCATTTATTATTTAATGTCCATAAAAATTATATTTATATTAATGATGTCTCCAAAGTTCAGCGCATTTTTTACAAAAAAAATAATTTATCAGGAAAACGTGAGCGTCATTCAATGACAAAAACAAGCTTAAGTAATGACATCGTCGAACGGTGCACACTTGGTAAGTAATCCTACAATTTTTTGTTTATAGCATAGTTTATGTGGATTATTCCCAAAAAATTATACATATTTTGGAAATGTTGAGTCGAATTAGTCTAGAATCGATTAATTTTATGGAAGAAAACCTTTCAAACAGCCGTAGTCCTGCATATGTGCCAGGCTGTGATTGGCTCATGTATTTAATTAAGGACTCTTAGAACATCAATTTCATAAAGAATGGAACGTATCTACTGTGTTATAGGGGGGTCGACTGTACATGAATTTTTAATAAGCAATTTATTATGAAATATAGTATTGTATAATGAAATTGCAATTGATATTTTGTTTTTATATTGACAGTAGTTAAATGTCATTGTTAAAGAAACAATAATGCTAAATGAGCATTCGTGGTATTAATGTTTATGTAAACGTCAATTAATAAGATAAGACCATAAATAAAAATTCAGTATTGAAAAACTAAACTTATTTTATATCAGAAACACTTGCTGATGAAAGAATAGAGGATAGAGATTGCATAGCATGTATAATCTGTTTAGTAAAAGCCTGGAATTTTTAGTACTTGGTTGTATCATGCTTTTTCTTTATCATCCAACAAGCACGATATAATGAGGCACTACTGTATTAAAGCATTTTTGAAGTAATTCTGAAATGTACAAAAGCACATCATCATACAGGAAACTATCACATTTGTTCAAGTGTGAAATTTTCTATTGCTTTTTTGCAAATTTGCAGACAAAAGTTATTGCTAAATTACACTGCTTGTTGCAAAAAAGCAAAAATCCTACTGGTAGTGAGATCCCTATAGAACAATATATATAAACCAAGGGTTTATATGTAATGTTCTGCTATTCCATTAATTAGATGAAATACATTGTAAAATTATTTGAAAATACATAAACATTGACTTTTATGGCATTTTTTCCTGGAAAAAGGTCACAAAATAATTACCTTGTTTCCTGTAAACTCAATGTCATAAATTGAGACTACTTTTAAAGATACAGTTTTAACTATGTAATATACTTAGATGACCAACATAAAATATAGAATTTCATAGCAAAGTTTCTACCAGTTGTAAAGATAGGAGATATTAAAGCAAATGATTATAAAGGAGTCTGCTACATTGATATTAACTATTTTTTTCTAATTTATTTCTAAAAGAGATATAATATATTTAAACTAAAATTTGTGCTTAACTCATCAAAAATTGTTATATTTTAATAAGATGGCACTAATGATATACAAATTCAAAATAAAAGTTAAAATGTAATTTAATTTCAATATTAGGAATTATTGTAAGTCGGGGCCAATAGTTGAATTCTGATTGTTGGTTCCGGGTGATACATTAGGAAGATGTGTTACCTTTGAAAGGAAGTGAATCCGGAGAAAGATATAATCACAGACTTCCAGTTTTTTATTAAGTATTGCAGGAAAAAATGTAGAATTTTCTTCACATGAGTTTAAGTCTTATTTTTTTATAAAACGAATGTGAAAAAGTTTATAGGCAAATAAAATTTATTAAATCCAGGCTCTCACAAATTCATCATAACAAGTAAGTAAATATTAATGAAGTGTATGCTTACTTTTCACCACTTTGCATACAGGAAATATATTTTAGCTGTAAGATTAATTGCCATATGTTAATAAAATATATATTTACAATTATTTATAAACATAAATGGTAAATTAATAATAATTTTTAGGTCGAGCCTATCCAGATTGCACATTAGGACATCTTTTAAAAATTCTTTTTAAAAATGACAATTTCATGAATAAGGTAAGAAAATTGAAATATATTTCTATTTACATTTCCATAATATAATAATAAAAATGGAACATATTTTTATTTTAATAGTTAGTAAATAACTACATTATGCATCGGGATAGTCGCGACTTAAATACAGTTGGTTGCCGCCTGCTTTTAGATATTTTGCCTGGATTGGAAACATCGGTTGTCTTCCAAGATACCGTACGTGTTTTGCTTTATTTGACTCTTGTTTTTAATTTTATTTTTTAAATTAAATTTATTTTTATGTTTTAGGATGGCTTGGTTAATAGACTGTTTCAATGGGCAGAAAATTCTAGTAATCCTTTACAGTCTTATGCAACTGGCTTATTAGCTGCTTCTATGGAAGTACAAGATATTGCAGCAAATTTTAGAGAACAAAATTCCCATTTAGTAAGTTGAATTTAGTCCAATTTATTTCTAGTTATAATATTTACAATTTAAGTATGGTAATTTATATAAGAACATTTAACTGGACAGCTGTAGCAACTATAAAGCTAGGAAAATAAAAATTTAGTAATGTTTATGAATTCATTTGCTTTATAATCTGATGATGATAATTGAAGATGGCTAAAAGCACTTGTTCTTAATAAATGCTATTGAGATTTCTTTTGCTTTATAGCTGATAATTTACAATTAATCACAAATTTTCATACAATATTTTGCCAGTTTAATAAAGTATTTAATTACAAATGATTATATTGACAAATTTTTTTATTAATATAGGTGCCTGTTATGTTAAAAAGGTTACACGAATTAAGTAGTAAAACAGAATCCAGTCAAAAAGATGAAAATTTTTCTATTAGTGAGCGTCCATTTTCAATAGTAAATAAAGAATCTCAAGACAAACTGCCTTCCCATATTAATAAAGAGAAGACTGTAGACAATCTTTCTGAAAAAAGACGGGTAAGGGTAACTAATGATTATGTGAACTCAAAAGTGATAACACAAACTAAAGCAATCTTTTTCAATATTTAAGATTCTTTTTATTTTGTGCTTCATGATCTACTAATACTGAAAGTTTTGTAAATTCATTTACAACAGATAGTTATAGCAGTTACAATAACTAAATTGTAACATTAAAGAACCTTGATTTTGCAATTTGGTTATTGTAATTATTATGTTGATTTGCAACCTGTAGGATATTTACCATATCTTTCAATAAATAGCTAGTTAAATAGTATCTACACAATGATAAATTTTTTATAACTAATTATTTTTATTTAAACCCTATATCATTAGACACTGACTTATTCAGGAAATGTGCATTTCTTATAACTAATGTGTTTGTTATTCTTACTTCATCTAGAATTTAGCATAAATAATGTCATAATTTTTAGTATTTATATATGTTGACCCATCATTTTTAAATAAACAAGAAAATATTTTTTAAATTCTATGTTTTTTGATGATTAAATGAAGTTCATTTCTTATTTTCCTTGAATAAAAATGAATAAATAAACTACAATAACAAACACGTAACCATTAAATATACAGTAACTAACTTTTACTAATATAATGTTTTCAGTACTTTTGATTGACCTTCTTCAGGATAATACATAAAATTTAATATTTTACAAAAAGAACAAAAGCTGTCCATATTCCAAAAACAGTTTTTATAACTTCTATTTTTGGAATAATATGAATTTTTTAAAAACGCATATGTCGGTTATTTATACATATTATACTATATCACACAATATGTGGCAAAACCAATAAATATATAAAACATCTATTACCCACAATGAAATAACCTATGCCTAGAAATATTCTAAATTATACTTTTTATATTTATATTCTTGCATTTGCATCCTCTTACATCTTAAGGCCAGTAATAGACAAATGTTGCTTGCCCACAATCTTCCTAGAGTGCTTGCTCAATAAGTTGATCAGTGAGAATTGATCAATGCATGATTAAAGCATAAAACAACCACTAGACTTAATCCAGAGGCTACAGAATATGGATCTGAAGCAAGAAGAATTTATTACGGTAATGAACTTTAAGGCAATTACTCCTTGATCAAATTGGAATCGTGTTTTTGTCACCTGAGTGACTTCCTACTGAACAAAATCATAAACTCAGGCAACTTGCATATGGAAATTCTAGAGTTGGCACACCTGGCTACATTTTCATTGTTTTTTCACATTCAATGGGCAAGTGTATGAGCAAAATAGAGGAGTACCCATGGGCAGCTCCATTTCCAAGACACTTTGTGAGATGGCATTCAGACCATTAGAAAGAGCAACCATACCCAAATATTGGGAATGGCATTGTTGTTTATGCACTTTATGTAGATGATGTGTTAATAATATGGAAGAAGAAACCCAACATCAGAAACTTTCTGGAAGATATTTATTTGAACACATTTGGATTAGAAATAGAATTGGAGCAGGAAAGCAATGCCGCTGTGCACTTCCTAGACATCTTAATCAAGTTAAAGGGAAACACTGTCAGCACAGATATTTACAGAAAGCCAAAGTATGATGCAATGTTCATACCATGGACCTCACATGCTATAGATTATCAGCATTTAGGGCTCTCACAAATGAGCATATACTCATTGCACCAATATGCAAGATAAGATAAGAGTGCTAGAGTACATTGAGGAGATGGCTTGTCAGGTTGGAGTCAAGAGAAAAATGATAAGGAGAATGATATGCAAATGGAGAACAGAAGATGCAGAGACAAGAAGAAATGATATACAGAACAAATATACTGTTGTTGAATACATGACAACCCTCAGAAATGTCTACAGAGAAATTGGAGTTGAAACTAACAAAAAAAATCATATTTGAAAGAAACTCCATGGTATATGGGATGCTAAGGAACGACAGAGGCCATTGACCCAACATGCAGTCCTGGTGTGTACAGAATACCTATAAAAGATAGCAGGAGGCTTAATGACTTATGCTACATAGGACCCACTATTAAATCACTAAAGCAGAGGATCAAAGAACATAAAAGTAACATCCAAAAGGAGAAGCCAATTACAGCATTAGTGACTTATGCCATNCAAAAAAACTAAAAGAAACCCCACGGTATACGGGATGCTAAGGAACGACGAAGAGGCCATTGACCCGATATGCATCAATGGCGTGTACAGAATACCTATAAAAGATAGCAGGAGGCTTAATGACTTATGCTACATAGGACCCACTATTAAATCACTAAAGCAGAGGATCAAAGAACATAAAAGTAACATCCAAAAGGAGAAGCCAATTACAGCATTAGTGACTTATGCCATAGCAGACCCAGATTTTGTAAAAATAGAATGGAATTGGGCAGAAATGATCCGAAAGATGCAGAATAAGCAAAGGATTAAATATGTGGTGTGGCATGGCACATTCATAAGGCTACAGAGAGGGAGCAGGCACTAAATTATAGAGAAAACATCATGGTTTTACCAGCCTGGAAAGTATTGATAAATAAAATCTAAAGTTGAACAATGTAAGAGGATGAAAGTGCGAGAATATAAATATAAAAATATAATTTAGAATATTTCTAGGCATAGGTTATTTCATTGTGGGTAATAGATGTTTTATATATTTATTGGTTTTGCATGTATTGTGATATAGTATAATACATAAAAGTAACCAACATATGTGTTTTTAGCAAATTCGTATTATTCAAAAAAAATTGAAGTTATAAAAAATGGTTTTGGAATATGGACAGCTTTTGTACTTTTTGTAAAATATTAAATTTTATGTATTATCCTGAAGAAAGTCAATCAAAAGTACTGAAAACATTAGATGATTAGTAAATGTTAGTTACTGCATATTTAATGGTTATGTATTTGTTATTGTGATTAGTGCAGTTACAGAAAGGATTAAGGATTAAATAAACTACTACTAAGTAATATTCTGTATAATTTTCATTTGTAAACATTTTTGAATACATGTATCCTATCTGCAGAACTAAATCATATTCAAACAACTTAATATATTCCAGAAAATTAGTTGAAAGATTTTAACATAATTAATAAAATTATTTAATTATCCTTAAAAATAAATTTTTGAACACATTTGAATTTTTTAATATGATTAAGTTCTGGAAATGAATTATGATTAAAAATACTTTTAGAAATAAAAATTATGTACTAATTCATACAAACAGTTTATTATATTTATTTTTGTTTATACTGTTATTGTTGAATCATTTTGCTTCATGCTGACCCATTATGTGATAATGCATAATTTTAATTTTGTAAATAGCGATCCTCTTCCTTATCTCCTGCTCGCACTACCTCACCATTCAGTGCAGGATGTGGATCGTTGGCATCTTTAAATGAATGTTCTAACAGCAGTTGGGCAGAGTTGGAACATTTTATGATTGGATCACTACAGATGTATCCATTAACTGCCGAAATGCAACAGAGGTTCATTCTACAGTATTTAACACCTATGGGTGAATATCAAGAGGTAAAGCATATTTATAAATATTTATTTGTGTGTATATTTTAATATTTAATAAATGTAAATATTTTCTAAATGTATTGAATACTTAGAGCCTAAATTAGTTAGTTTATTTTAAAGATCTTGATTTATTATTTTTTAACATCAAAAAACCTTAACAAGGTAATGTTTCCCTTGAATTTCCCTAGTTTTGTGAATTAATTTTGGGAAAAGAAACATTGAATACAGTACTGCAGACAATGATAATAGAAAGTACATCTGAAAAAGTTACATTAAATCAGTGTATTTCCAGGCATGGCATGTATTATGTATGATATCTAATCTGTACTTAATTTTGGTCTATGCACTGTACAAGTCTACATGTCAGGAGTCACGCTGTTATTGACGTACATAATTCTTGTTTGCATGGCTCTCATGTCTGGTAATTTTGTAGCATACACAATGCTTTGATATATGTTCAATATATGGGAATACAAAGATCTTCAACATTATAGTTGAGTCCATTAATGGTATCTTGGGAAGGTATTTGGTTCTTTATTAACCCACACCAAGTGCTTTTGAACTGTCCTTGATATGTTCTGATATGAAACAAAGGTTTTTTGAGTCTCAGATTTGAATGTTATGACAGTATATTTAGAAAAATGAAAGTTGTTTTATCATGTCCAAAAACTGGGTGTTAGTTGATTTGGTCTAGGATGGCAATGGCAAAGACTGTGCACAGGCACTTGTCGATTGGCTTAATTTTCTGCAACATATGTATTTTGTATGTGCATAGTTACAATTGCTTATGCAAGACTTTGTGCAGAGTTGTAGTTGGCATTTGAAGTTTATGAGGGTCTTATAAATGGTCTTTCATGGCAAATATTTTCACTTGTTTGTATGGAAAATATTTCAAGGCAAATATTTTCCACTTGTTTGTCTGAGACAAACTGTCACCTCCTCTTCATATCTCTTCAAAACATTCTTTGTAGCCAGAACTTCCTGTGCCATTCATGTATCATTTTAGGATTGGAAAATGGCTTTTATATACAGTGAAATTCTTATGCCACTAGTACAACTGACTTTAACTTGCAAAACCAATTTAACATCTAAGCCTTTTATTGTATTTTGTCATTTTCCTTCTAATGTTTACAAACACTATCACATGGTAGCAGTAACTCTTTCAAGTATATGCACATGAAACATGACACATTGATCAACATTTTCCAACACATTTCATTCACCTATCTGTGCAAATGAATTTTACAGAACAGTTTAAAACAATGGAGATTTTCAGAGAATACCCTGTAAGATCATATTTTCATTTATAATTTAAGAAAGTATGTTATCCTTATTATTGAGAAAATATGATATTTAATATAATAGATAATATAGTTTTTAGTGTGAAGTTTGACATTATGTGAGCTTTCCTTTATTTATATAATATAAATAATATCTTACAAATAAAATGAAATTATATGAATATGTTTAAAATTTTGATTATTATATTTCAGCTCCTCAGTTATGTATTTGAACATAATGCTTTATCTTTAATTCTACATTATGTTAATCTCAAAGAAAATCATGATGTTCGATTAGCATTTGAAGCTCTTAAGGTTGGCATTGGTTTTTATTTATAATAATAAACTGTTATTATTATTATACAAAACATTTTAAAATATTTAAAATAAATTTCTAAAATTAATTAGAATTTTAATAATAGTTGTTTTGAAGTTATGTATTTAATATATATTTTTTTAAAGTATCTCGCAGCACTTTTATGCCATAAGAAATTTGCAATTGAATTTATAAATGTGGGAGGATTACAAAAATTACTACAAGTATACCGACCATCAGTAGCAGCTACAGGTGTTTCGATATGCTTGTATTATTTAGCCTACAGTGAAGATGCAATGGAAAGAGTAAGTTAATAAATCATAATAAATTAACTTCACATAATGATTAATATATATATATCAATATATATAGTATGTACCAGTACATGTGTATATTTATAATTTGAATCCTATGTTATCCTTTAGAAAATATTAGATTTGAAAGTAATTTAATTTTTTCTAATGAAAAGTTTTATGATATTCTAAAAGTGATTTCAATTCTATTCAGGTAGTACTTTGCTAATTTATTTGAGTCGACAAATAAGCAATTTGTTTTCTAGACAATTTAGTTTTTGTTTCTTAAGCACGATATAGTGCATTTAAATGAACACTAGGCATCATTTTATCTGTTTATTTGCTCTTCTTAGTTGAATGACACAGTTTCAAATTAGTACAAAAGTAGACAATTTAGTATTAATCCGTGAAACATTTACTCTGTTGGAGTTATAAACATAACAACTTTCATTCACAACAACTTTTCAGATACTTTTTTCACATCCAACTAACCATAATCAATATATATAATAAAGGTAAGTGTACAATGTGCATGCTGCTAGAACTCAAAAACAAGTCCCAATACAATCAAGGGAGTTATATGGTGTGGTAGCCCTCTATCTCCCATTCATGAAGAAGGTTCCTGTTTTTACCTGAAGGGCGTGCTGTTGAAGATATAAGGGCTGGAAGTTTCATCCTCTAGAAATTTCTAGAACAGTCCAGAACATTTGAGAGTATTCGAGAGCATTCCACAACATTCCAGAAAGCAACATGCAAAATTTACAAGTGCAGATGCAGTTTTTTGCGTTTTTGCAAGAAATCGAACATATTTTTAGACCCATCTAAAAGTTTTCTAATTAGTCTGGAAACAGGGCAACCTAATTCTTGCATTCTGAGAAAATGGATAAGATTGGCTATAATGTAATAATCTTAATCTTCTCTATCGTTACTTTTTGCCCGGGCAATGCCGGGCTCATCAGCTAGTTCCACTATAAAAGGAACATGGCACTGAAAAACACTTATCAAAATATAATTCAAAGATTTTGAATGTGCCATAACATTTACAAGAAACATTATCTGATGTAAGCAGATTGTTTTGAATAGGTTGTTTTTTTTTCTTTCTTACTATATTCTCTTGTAGATGAATTTAATCAATCCAAAAGTAGTTGGTAAAGCTGCCATGACTGGAAGTTCCAATAAAGTAGTTTTTTGATTATTTCTTAAAAGTTGGAGTGTTTCTTGAGTCAAATATTAATATATCAGAAGCATATAAATTTACTAAACTCAAGAAGAAAAAAAATTCTAAAGATTTAGTGTTAAACATAGTACATAGACATATAAAATTTGAAGAATGTTTCCATTAATTTTAAATTAGATCAGTTTAGATAATAATTATTTCATTATCATTTTAGATTGCATTATATATTGAATCTGTAATGAATTCATTTGGAATGGTCAGAAAGTCAGTTAACATAAAAAAAAAATAGAAAATAAAAAATATAATGTTACCTTTAATAGGATGCCATTTTCACAGCCTGGAAAGTGCTGTTGAAAGTTTAATCAGTTTACTCAATCATGATTGCTCTTCTGATTTTTATTTGTTTTTTGTTGGCTTTTTACTTTGTCCCTTCTGCTTGGTGATATTAAAATATTAAAAACAGTTAACCACATTTTATATGTCCTAAGTACACTAGGTATGATATATAAATTGAGTTTGGAACAATGTATTTTCAGTAATGAAGAACAGCAAATTCATAAAATAGTTGAAGTATATGAAAATGTTTTCACATTTTTGCCTTATCACATCTCAGGAAGAACACCACTGACTTAACTGACTTTTGGGTCACATTGTATTTAAAATATTTTGACTTAATAAATTATATTTATGATATTCTAAAATATAGTGAGATATTTTAGTAAGACAAATTTGATTTAATTATTTTTTTTTTGTAGGTTTGTTTGTTACCTCGAGAAGTACTTGGAGAATTAGTAAAGTAAGTTTAATAGATAATGATTAATATGATCATTGTTTAACCTAATGGGCTAATGGGAGAGGCTTTTTGATCATTTGTTAAATTAATTCAAATACAGGCAATCCTTGACTTGTAGAACATTTACTTTTTCTAATATAATACTTTGATATCTTTAAATCACTTTTTATGCATCAAAAATTGTACTTTTATGCATTTTTGGCTGGCAAAGAAATATTTCAAATTCTCATACAATGGTGTACTTTCTGCCGGTCTTGGTAACATCAAAATCATTTGGGAAATTTTATATTTATTGCTTGTTTTCTGTTTAAGCTACAAATTTAACATTTTAAACAATGCTTTATGCATTCTAACATATTCACTGTAAAAAAGTAAAACTTTCCTACCTTAATTTTTTTTTTTTTTTTAATTAGAATGGAACTAACACTCTTCACAACCCAAAGCTTCATTCCTTGACTTTTGTACACATTTTTGGGAACATACTATGTATGAAAGTTGAGGACTGCCTTTAACCTATTCCCTATTATTCCTGACATATCTTGGGTCGAAACATAATGACCTTGACTGATGGGCCCGAAATAGTGTGTTTCTGCATCGGACATTTTTGACAATAGATGTTGCTAGTCTGCATAATTTTTATATTAAAACTAACTTCTGAAATATAATTTGTTTTGTTTTTACGTTTATTAATATGTCTATTTTGTTTGTGCAAAATAAAAATATAATTTTGGACAATACAATAGCCATGATTATTTTTTTTATAACGTGGAATTTTCATCGGGCTTAACATCGATAAAAATTCAACATAGAACAACACGCAATGGAAAAAAATTTCAACATGGGATAGGTTAATAGCTGAAAGAAAGGAAGAATACCTTATATATATGTGATTTGATTTTAGATGATAAAAATTCTGAATTTATTCCTAAACTAAAAATGTAAAAAATTTTATTATTATTAACATCATCACAAATATATAAATTGTATTTGATTTTGAAATTTTGTCTTAATTAAAATTTTTTCTTTAGATATGCCTTGTGGTTATTGGAGTGCTCACATGATTCTAGTCGATGTCATGCCACTATGTTCTTTGGATTAACATTTGCATTTCGTGTCATTTTAGAATTATTCGATCATCATGATGGATTAAGAAAATTGTTCAATGTTGTAAGTGTTATGTTACATTCTGTGAAAATGTATGTTTAATTATTTTAATCCAAAAAATTTAGTCATATAAAATACAATAATTCAAAATGAAACATTTAAGTTCTTCAGTAAATCAGAAGTGTGTGAATTTAGTTTAATAACTTTATAATAGTTTCAATATTTTAAAAATTATACACGGTGGTTCCAAACTGTGAGGCAGACTTTGGGAATGGATTCCTTGTGAGAGAAAGAACAAAAGTGGTCATATTAACATATGGACATATATTAATATGAATGCATTGTACCAAGATAGATGACATCATTGGGTGTTTGAACTGTACATATAGGATATGATGTTGCACACAATATGACATATGTACTGTACCTCAGATAGAATCAATCACAGTAGATGCTCAAAGTGTTTTTTATGGTTCACAAGGAAAGGGGCCACATGTCACATTAAGGACATGCACACTTTGAAATTTTGTAGTATCTGAACAGTATTATTGACAGTATTCACATATTTCCAAGAAGCATGCACAACATTTTTTAAATGCATCACAAGCAAAAATCAAGGGAATTGAGGGCTACTAAGTGGGCAGGCCATGCAACAGGCCTCCCTTGACTAATCCATCTGCCAGAGGTGGTTCCAGATAGTGGAGAACATGAACACAGAATTGGACCTATCTTGACACTAGTGCACTTCCAGACCATGTTAATATTTAGGACCATTTTTATTCTTTGTCCTGCCAGAAATCCATCCCTAAAGTTAATCTCCTTAGTTTGGAATCACCCTGTATATTAATTCATAAAGGACAAAAGGTGAATGTCAAAATTGTTATCCAGTTATGAAGGATGATTTTCAGAATAATATGAAATTAAAATATTTGTATTTTTAACATTTATAATGTTTTCTTTAGATAATAAAGTGCAACAAAAATATTTAATTTTATTACATATTTAAAAAAATTAGTAATAAATTTTCAAAATAATCAAAAAGATGAAAATAAAAAAAATTTTAAACAGTTACAAATGAGACTTTATAATACCATATGATTTTTAATACAGATGGATAGATGAACATTGTACACTTTTATTCTCTCTGCCATTCTTTGGAACTTTAAAATTTTCTTTTAAAGGTTAGTCTTATCCAAGAGCATTTAATTCAGTCACCAAATTGGAATCTGAAATGCTCACAGTCAATGTTTGTTTAAATATTGTAAGATCATTTTTAGATTATTGTAAAATTCATGTTTTCTATTTATAATATAACTAAATATAATAAATGTAATGTAATAATTAGGGATTGCAATTGTTGGATCCCTCATCCAGCAATCCAGCTGGATCCAGCTCTGCAGATCCGCAAATACTTAATTAACTTTCTAAATAATGGCACAAAAGTCTACATTGTCAGCGTTGCCGCTTTGCTATGTGCGCTATCACTTGGCAGCGAGAGTGACATTGCCATTCAGTGCGACGCATGCTACACCCCCTCTCTACACTGTACTGCCTGCTCTTTTACCTCTGCTGATTTAATTGCCAGTTCACTTTCCACTCTCGCTAAAAAAGTGTCTTCATGCTAAATAAAATAAGTAACTCCTCTCCTAGTCCTGATACATAATTCTAATTTACAGTCGGTTGTGATGTCAATGAATCACGTGACAGAATGATCACAGTTTAAGCCTGTGGGGAGGTGGGAAGTGATTCTGTGATGCAGCAAACATCTTAAAAATGTGAGAAAAGTTGTTAAGACTTTTAAAAAATTTCCAATCAAAGATGATATGTTTTTGCAAAAATATGTAAAAGAAGCGAAAGGCAAAGAATTGAGATTGATTTTTGACTGCCGCACTAAGTGGAACAGTCTCCTCAGCATGCTGGAATGTTTCTACAGTGTAAAAGTTTGCATCAATAAAGCCTTAATAGACGCTGGCTCAGACACTAAATTCACCACTGACAAGTGGTCACTAATCAATGAGTTGATCACCGGTCTTCATCCGGTTAAACTAGCCATAGAAGCTCTCTGTAGAAGAGAGTCGTTTGATAACTGCTGATACAACCCTGAAATTTGTCTTAGACAAACTAAAAAGCCAGGACACAGTCTTGAGTGCCGATCTTTCCAAGGCACTCTGCAAAAGAATCAGAGAACAGCGTCTTACCGAGGTCACAGAGATGCCGATTTACATACAGATCCCAAAGAAGTATGACCAAAAAGTTGGAAAGCCCAATTATTCTTTCACAATGCCGGAAAAAAAATGTAATGCGCCAGGAGATGAAAAATATGCTGAATCATGTAAATACATATGTAGTGGAACCAGTAGCAATGGCAGAGGATATTACGGAGGTGAAAAATGGTGATCCAGATAACCCACATTCCCTGAATTTCACATTGGAACAAGAATTGGCGATCCAACTAAAGTGTGAGAAAGAAACTAGTACTGAGAAGGATTATGATAAGTTATTAAAAAAAGGAAATGGCTGTTTATGAAAGTGAGAGAGTCAGAGGTGAAAACTTATCTTTGATTTATGATTATTTGATGACCCTGAAACCAATTAGTGTAGAGGTAGAAAGGGCCTTCTCTGCAGCGGGATACATATGCAGTTCATTAAGAAGTAGGTTGGGAGACAACACCATGAATACCATTTGTTTCTTGAAATCCTACTTCTAGAAAAGTCAAAAAAATAGCAGAAGTGATTGATTTAATTTTATTTAATCTTTTTAAAATACTCTATTCAAGACAAGACTAATATTTTATAACTTCTACTATAATTCTATTAAGTAATAGTTTTTAACTTTTATTCTATAAGTGGTTAGTGGGCTGGGCTAGGCTAGGCAATTTTATTGTGAAAATTAGTGAGAAACTGATACTATCTAGTTAGTTAAATAGTTAATTAAATTAATGAGTATCAGTATCTTAGATATATGATGATATGAATGTATGTAATTCATGATTGTGATAATAAGTAATTACTTACTCACTACTTTACTAACACTAATAATTAAATTACTTATAAATAACTACAGACTGGTATGTAGAGCCTATATAAGAAAACTGGTAAGACTGATAGCCACTTAGCCACTGATTATCTGTCCTTACATTATTATAATATAATATATTAATATAAATTAATTTGCAGAATTGCCTTTGCTATTATTTAATTTAAAGATTACATTATAATTATAATTTAACTAAATGTTTAAAGTTAATTATCTCTATCTCAAGTGTTAAACCGAACCAAATTTAAGTTTACTACCTAAATGTGTAAGAAGTTTTACTGATTTATAGTGACCAGTCTAAATAATAAGTTTTTTAAGTATTTAAAAAAAAGTTTTATTTCTTTAAAAAAACCATAAATTGCTGGATAGATAGATAGATAACACTTTATTGCACCAAAAACACATCTGCGCTGGATCCAGCTGCAATGATGTTGGTCCAGCAAAAATCCAGCTGGATTGAAAACACTGCTGGATTGCAATCTTTAGTAATAATATTTATGAAATATATAATTTATAATATATCAAGATATTCTTTCTAAAAGTTATATTTGTCTTCAGCTTTTTTACTATTATGCATTCTAGAAGTCATAATAAAATTATATAGAAGTTAATTTAAATGATGATGATTTAATTGTAATCAGTACATAGACTTTAGTTGCTAGCGCCTCATATTAAGCAATCTGCCAATCAAATACTTTGAAGAAAAATGTTTTGACTCCTTCAAAAAGCAATAATTATAGTATCAAAGAAATAATAGTATGCACATAATTATGAATTAAAATACTAATTCATTTTTTCGGTTATTTTTTATATAAATAATGAATTATACTTTTCATAAATTATTTTATAAAATAATTTATTTTCTTTTAGATCAGTACCTTAAACATTTTTGTAGCTGAATCGGGACTTCAGCCATTGCTGAGTGATGATCAAGTTTTTGCTAGTCGTCAAACTGCCCGTCACGTGTGTGTTGCCTTAAGAAGATACTATGAGACTCATGTTGCTATTAAAGCTGAACAGTTAGGAAGATCTCATTCCAGAAACCAGGGTTATTCACCACATCCTCCAATTCCACCTTATAAAGTAAAAGATTCTAAATATATAACTATTTAAATGAAAAAAATAACCAGTCTTAAATATTTGATAAATATCCTTAATAATAATGAAATTGTATTAATTGTGAACCAGTGGTGAAAAATTTAAATTTAATCTACAAAATCAAAATAACTTAAAACTGTATTCATACTTTATCAACTTTTTCCTGCTTAGCATTATGAGGGCTTTTATAGAATTTTTGAGTATGAATATTGTTTCATTCAAATTTGAAGTATTTTTATTTATTTATTTACATTTAATTTGTCAACATCTAAGTTGATAGCTCAGACATCAGCATATTAAACATAAATAGCTATAAGCTGAAGGTTAGCTACTAAATTAATAGTTAGTTATTCTGGGATATTATCAGATGAGAATAACGCAATGTCTACATTGTGTAATTCATCTAATAATTTAGTGTATTTGGTTTTACACAAAGTTAGAAACTGGTAATTATTTGAGATATTGTCTTCAGTTTGATTACTAGAATTTATTACTTAATTTTGAATTGAACACTTTAGTTTGTTTGCTAATAGTAGTTTATTGTTTTTGTTGTGAACTGATGATGCCATGTTAATACCACTAAAATTCATTTTCACCACTAATTTATAAATTTAATATAAATCATTAATATTTATATTTTAGTTTTTTGTAATGTTGAATTAAAAGACACACAATAAAAATTAAATAGTGAAAATAGTTAAAAATTGGTTGTTATATTTTTATTTATTAAATTTCATTTGATTTTTAAATTAAAAACTTTTTAAGACAAATGAATTTTTTGTTTTAGGCTGCCCGCTACAGTTCTGAAACAGTACAAGAGAATATCGAATTAATACTAGAGTTTATGCCTGTGCGTATGAAATGGGAACCAGTTGATGAATTTTTAAAACTGGGAGGTGTGTCATTATTATTGAAACTCATTGCTATGTCATATGAATGGAATACTTCTGGAAGGTTAGTTAAAAAAAACTTCTAATTTTGAATAATTTAACAATGAAGCACTTTAATTTCTAATGAAATAATATATATCAGGAAGTATTCTAAAATTTTTTACATAAATGGTACTTATTCAGCATTTAATAAAGATGAAAATCCACATATATGCTGATTTATTTATGTACTGTATGCATGTATGCAGTTAAACTTTATTTTATCACCATCAATTCTTTGACACTAAATTAAGTGTGACACTTAACTGAAGTACCTCAAACAAGAATATAATACTGTTTTTGCAGAATGACTGGCATGCTGATAACCCAAGGATTCTGGCATGGTAGTCCCCCATTTTTATGTGGCATGCTGGTCATTCTGTGAAAATAGTGTGTGTGTGTGTGTATGTATGTAGTAGTGAGGTGTATACATGTTTTGATTTTCAGTTTGACGATCACATGATTTAGTACATTTAGTAATTTACAGGTACTGAAGGGTTCTCCATTTCAAATTTATAAGAAAGATCTGTAAGTACTATTTAGAATGGTGACTGTTTCAAGATTTTATTTTATGTACAAATTTACAAGAAATGTGTTTAAAGTGTTAGCTCATTGTGGTTTGAAACACTACGTTAATTGTGCGAAGGCCAATAATACTCTACCAGGAGGGAGCAAACATAAGACCACACATAACGCATTCTCTCAATAGTGCCCCATAACCAAACGCATGAAAACACAAGCTGTCAGTAGGGTCAGCTATGAATAATACACCCATACTCAATACAAACACAGGCAGCTATAAACTCGTACAGATTAAAGCAAAGAAATGCAAAGCTACCTGCTCCCTCCTCATTCATACTTCTAATGTACACAATACAGATATCATCATGATTCAAGAACACTACACTATTAATAACGTGATAGTCAAGTTCAATGACTGGAAAGTCTATCCAGCTCAGGACCCTGGCTATCGCATCAAGGCTGGTATTATCACCAGGAACAAAAGCATTACTGCCTGTCTTGTCTTCTAGTTGTAAGTTAGATTAGGGACTCTTAGCTTGATTTCCAGTTAGGTTAAATTAGATTAGGGTTTGTTAGCTTTAGTCATCTGGTTAGGTTCCTCCTAGGTTATGCTAGGTTAGTTTAGTTAGTAAGTAAGTTAATGTTTAAAAAAATAAATAAATAAATAAAAATTTTGGGTCTTGCTCGTTTTTTCTCTGTCGGTCCATTCATCTCATTTAGTTTGTCATTGTATTCATTTGTTTTTCACACTATCTGTCTAGCTGTTAAGTAGTATTAAGATTTGCAATTGTGTTCAGTTTTATTAATATTAAGTAGATATAAGTCTTCTTGCTAACAGCCACTTGGCACTAACTTCTGCACTTAGCTATTTGTGGCGGCACTCAATTATTGATGTTCTGTACACTTGGGTTTTCTTTTAGATCCTTCTGGGGACTATGGCCTTGCAGCCTAAAAACTGTATGCTAACATCAAACATAGAGGGTACTGTAGCCATATATATGCCATTCAGAGGGATCCTACCTTTCTCTACTGTCTATCTCCTCCCTCCTCCNTCCATTCATCTTGTCTAGTTTGTTGTTGCATTTGTTTGTTTTCACACTGTCTGTCTAGTTGTTAATAGTATTGAGATTCATGCTCGCATTTAGTTTTATTAGTATTAAGTAGATATAAGTCTTTCTACTAACAACCACTTGGCACTAACTTCTACACTTAACTATTCGTCGTAGCACTCAATTATTGTGTTTGCTACACACAGTTTTTTTTAGACCCTTTGGGGGACTACGGCCTTGCAGCCTAAAAGCTGTATGCCAACATCAAACATAGAGAGTACTGTAACTTTACGTACTTTGTTCAGAGGGAATCATTTTCTCTACTGTCTATCTCCTCTCCATTCTTCTTTCTATCCCCTTTCCTTTACCCTGTTTTCTGCCGGCTAAACATTTCATTTACAGCTGATGTCTTTCTTGTATGTATGTATGTATGTGGAGAGTGGAATGCTATGAGGCGTTATCTGCTGGTGTGTCCAAAAAAATGAGGTGATATGCAACTTAGAAACCAGATGTGTCCAAAAAAAATGAGGTGATACGCAACTTAGAGAGAAACCAGATGTGTCCAGACAGGACTTTTCCTTTCTAAGCACAAAGAATTTTGGAGATGATTCAAATTTAATATCTAAATGTTTAGTGTTTTGTGTCACTAATTGTAATGTCCAGTATCATAATTAAACATTGGCATTGTGAGCAATTAGTTGTCTTCACTGAACTAAGTAGTATGAGTGAAGTTAGCAAGGCAGGAGATAAAATGACTTTTACTAAAGTGGGGCCCCATCCAGGATTAAGCTTAGCTTGTAGCAATTTGATGAACTGTGTTTTGGTTTTGTGATCGCACTGAACATTTGCAGATATATCTGTTTTGTGAAAATTTCAACGTTAAAGACCCCGGATACATTGGCATTCTGGATTAGCTCCAAGCTACATCTCGATAAACTGTGAGTAATTTTGAAATTGTACTTATAAAATGGCAATGCTTGTAGAAATCATTAGTGAGACACTAAAATCAGCCTTGACAAATTCGATAAAATTATTGCATATTAGAACTTATTTGAAGAGGTTGGAGATAGGAATAACAGAAAAAGGTTGAGAATTTTTGCTGAATTTAATTTTCCATCCAAAGAGGATGAAAACTTAAAAAAAGAAAGTACAATACATTAATGAGAACTTTCAATTAAACGATCTAATTGTTTTGTGCAACTTATTAAATATTAAATATGACAGTACTAAAGATGAAATTGTTGAAAGGCTTGTTCTTTCCCTTTCTGATTTAAAATTATTACGATCAAATCTGATCCTAACAGATGTTGATACCGAAGACAAAGATGTTTTGGATGTTGAAACTGTTACTGATAATTTACGTTGCAATAATTGTCTGTATATTTCAGATATGACTAAAGTTTCCGTTAATTTTTATGATGTGAAAAATGTAATTAAATCCTTTGATGGTAGTGAATATTGTTCTATTGACAATTGGCTGGATGCATTCAAAGATTTTGCTAAAATTATGACTTGGTCTGATTTGCATAAATTTATATTTGCAAAACAATCCTTAAAGGGTTAGTGAAATTATTTGTTGAAAGTCAAATTGGTATTAATTCTTGGAACAAATTTAAATCAGAATTAAAAACAGAATTTGGTAGTAAATATAATTCAGCACGATTGCATGGTATGTTGGCTAAACGCCAAATGCTCCCCAATGAATCTGTACAAGAATATTTCTTTAAAATGCAAGAACTTGCTAGTCATGGAAAAATTGAACCTGACAGGTTGATTGAATATGTTATTTTTAGTATACTTGAAATACCTAATAACAAAATAGTGTTTTATGGAACAGATAATCTGACAGAATTTCGTGAAAAGCTAAGAGTGTATGAAAGATTTCGGTCTACATAATCTTGTTTATTTCAGCTTAAATCAAATCTACCCAAAGAGCACCAAAAACCCCAGCGCTATTGAAATAAACATGATAATAAAATTATCAAGTGTTTTAATTGTAATGAAATTGGTCACATTTCAAGTAAATGTTTACATAAATCTGAAGGTATTAAATGCTTTAAGTGTAAAAAATTTGGTCATAAAGCCAATACTTGTCCTCAAAAGGAAGCAAACAAAATGGAACTAAGTCATTTTTTTAAGCATAACAACAAAATTGAAATAGATGTTGAAATTCTAGGTACAAAAACAAAAGGACTTGTTGACATGGGGTCAGACGTAACAATGATACCAAGGCATTTTCATGGAAAAATAGGATCCCCAAAATTAAAATTCTGATAATGCATCTTTGATTGGATTAAATGGGAATATAATTTCTCCATTAGGTTTCTTTGAAAGTGAAATAAAAATTGACGAATATTCTCTTGCTGCAAATATTTACATATTAGAAAGCAATCTGTGTAATTCTATAATAATTGGAATAGATGTTCTGAATAAGCTGAATTTTTTTATAACAGACTATGAATTCAAGATCATAGGAAAATGAAGTCAAAATACTATTCGTGTTAATTATGCTCAAATTTTTATCCCGAAGAAAATTCTGCAGCTGAATCAACACTTGCTAGAACAGACAGTGCATATGGAAAAGGGCAGAAGACTCTTTTGCACTCCATTGAGTGGGGGAAGTAAACTGGTTTCAAAACATTAAATCACTTGATGAGTGCCCATCCTTTGTGGTTAATGATGTAAATGATTTCAGCGAAAATAAAGAAAAGTTGACCTTTGAATCTAATACCATTTCATGTAAGCCCTACAATGAGGGCAGAAAAATGCAATCAAATACAGATATAAACAAGTTAAATTATCTTAACCATGTTTTGTTTTTGCCAATGACAGGAAGTGTAATTTGGCTTATTCCTTAAAAGTTGAAAGTGAAAAAACATGCTTTTTGGTTGATTGGCAGATGTGGCAGATTGTTGTGAAATAGATTTAAGTCACATCCTGGATATGAAACAATAGCAGAATTTGATGAAACTGATTTCAGACTATGAACCAAATAAGGTTAGGGATACTGGATTGAAGATGCAAATTATTTTGACTGATGAAGTTCCTATTAGTCAATGCCCACATAGAATGTCACTCAAAGAACAGAAAATAGAAGATGATCAAATTCAAGAATGGTTGCATAATAGCATAATCAGACCTAGCTGTTCAGATTACACTGTGTCAATAGTTTTATGCAGAAAGAAAAATGGCAAAAGCAGACAGCATTGATTTTCGTAAGTTGAATCGGAAAATGGTCAAAAATCACTTCCTATTACCTTTGATTGAAGATGTGATAGATTGTTTTGAACAATCAAAAGTATTCACATCACTCAATTTAAGAAATGGGTTTTTCCATGTTGACATTCATGAGTGTAGAAAGTATACCTCTGATGGGGGCCAGAATGAATTTTTAAAGGTTCCTTTTGACTTATGTAATGACCCAAGTGTATTTCAACATTATGTTTATCATGTATTTAGACCATTGTTACAAGATAAAACTGTAGTAATTTATATGGATGATATCCTGATACCCGTCGTCATGGTATCAGGATATCAAGATTGTTTCATGTCACTAATTGTAACGTCCAGTATCATAATTAAATGTTGGTATTGTGAGCAATTAGTTGTCTTCACTGAACTAAGTAGTACAAGTGAAGTTAGAAAGGTGGAAGATAAAACGAATTCTACATGTATGTGATTTCAAATCTAACTTAAAGTATCAATATTTGTGTTTGATAAATTTGAATAAGGATTATTGTTTATGGAAGTTATTAATGACTGTTGTGGATTTTTTATTCTCACTCAATTAAAATAAAAAATATTTGTGTGAATAAATAATTTTAATAATATATGCTATATATTATTTATTCTGTAAAATAGAAAATAGATACAGAAAAATTAGTGTTAAACTTATAAATTAAAGTGAATACTTATTTGATTTATACTAGTACTTTGTTGTTTAACAATATCTTTGCTAAATTCTTTTTGTGTAAATGTATTAAGGCTGATTTGTACTTCATGAAAATAGAATGTACTACTAAAATGGCTCAATGAGCAATATCTTGCATATCATTGTTCACTGTATATTCCTTTTCTTTTTTGACTGGAGAATGAAAGAAAGAACTGTTTTTCTATGGTTTATATTTTACTGTTTGTAGTAGAGACTAATGGTACAGAAAAATTTAGCAGTACAGTATTATATTTTTGATTGATAAAATTACTGAAATATGGGCAGTCCTTTACTTTGGGGCATTGAATTTTCAGACAATTTGGTCTTTTGTACATAATACCTCTAAATTATTCATTGTATATGAAATTTAAACTTTTATAGATTTTTAGTTGACAAACAAAAATTTCAAGATATTGTGTAGTAGTGTTTCCTGCCAGTTTTGGTTTCATTAACAGTAGAGTTATTTGTGAAAATTAATTAGTTTTTTGTTTAATCTACAGTTTTAGCGTATTAAAAAGCTTTATGCATTGTATTATATTCACTGCAGAAATGTAAAACTTTTCCTCTTTCGATAAGAGATTTTATCATTTTTATTTTTATTTTTTCAGAAACAGTGGGAACAGAACTCCCTTTAAAATTAGTGATTCTATTTTTCGGCTTTCACAAATTTGAGTTTTATATACATTTTTTAGGAGTGTATTACATCCAAAAGTTGCAGGCTATCTGTATACAGATTCAAATTTGAATAAATATTAATTTAGAAATTTAATCTCAATCTATGTTTTCAATATTATCTATTATAATTTCTTTTATAAATTTATAATAATATTTATTCTGTTATCTTCTGAAATTTATTAAATTTATATTATTATTTTATGTATAAGCCTATATCTTTAATGCATGCTTTTGACTGTGAGAACCATCATATTTCAAATCGAAAATACCCAAACTGTATGCACATTTTTTTCTATCATTTTTAAGTTCAAACATTTATAAGAAGTGAATAACAGAGAAAAAATGTATTCTCTTCTTTCCATTCTCATGAAGTAAAAATTAGTCTAGTCCTTTACAAGGAATTCCAAAATTAATAATTATTTCATTAGAATTTTATAAACTTTTTCTATTTTACATAGGGCCGATACAATTAAAAGTGCTCTTGATGTCCTCACTATATGTTCTGTTACCCCAAAAACTCAACTTGATCTTACAGAAAGTGTTCAAGTTGTCGAAAATCAAAATCCTGTAGGATTGAGGTAAGTGTTTTTTTAATATGAAAAGCTATTTAAAAGCAAATTTTCAATTATTTTAAAATAAATTTAAATTCAGATTAAATGAATGAACTAAATTAAAAAACTATTCATCAATCTTAAAATTTGGATAGAAAACTATAATGTTATGATTTAATAAACACTCAGAATACTTTGACTCAAACACCTTATGCTTCTGAGAAGTAATAATTATTTTCCTACGAATGTTTTCTACCTGTTCCACAGGTCATCATTAGGTATTTTTGAAACTCTTGGAATGTTTATTTGCACTGATTCCAGGTTTGAACATTTATGCAAAACAAAATTCAAATTTCTATACCTGTTTGAACAATTTGTTTAAATACAAAAATATAAATGATAAATAGAACTAATTCAATACATGGATTCAAGTAAATAAGATAAAATAAAACAGATAAATAAAGTAAAATAACATAAAATACAATAAAAATATATATCCATACAATAAACATAATTATATGGACAGAGTGCATGCTGTATAATTGATTATACTGGGTTATTATGGAGTAATAAGGGCTTTTATTAGAAGAGCATTTAGTTATTGCTCCAACATGTATGACAGATGGCAAGAGTTAAATAGAGTCAGAACCATTGCTAGATCCTTAGGATTTAAAACGAGAATTGTTGAAAACGTAATAAGATCATACTCAATACCTAACAAAAGGAAGGCAAAAGGGAATACAAACAAAGAAATTACTAAATTCACATACAGCAGAGGAATGTCCACTATAATGAAGGAGGTAGCCAACTACAAGAATACAAGATTGGTTTATAAACGAGCTCCCAAATTTATAGTCTACTTAGGAACGACAGATATGATCAAGAAAGAGGTATGGTCTGGGGTGTACACAATACAATACAAAAATGATCAGCTAGAGCTGAATAAAGAATACATAGGGGTCATCAACAGGAATTTGAGTAAAAGGCTTAAGGAGCATGTGTATGATATAAGTAAAGGACACTACAATACAGCACTATCTAAGGTGGCACAAACTGAAGGTTCAGTAATTGATTGGAATGAAGCTAAGGTTATTAGACAGGTGCACTCACCTTCTTTAGCAATGACTGTGGAGAAATTTGAAATATATAGATTAGGCGCTACGGGCAAATGTTTGAACTGTAAAGATGCCACAAATTTACCAACAGCGTGGAAATTTATGACTGATAATAACCCGGTATAATCGGTTATACAGCATGCACTCAGTTCATATAATTATGTTTATTGTATGGATATATATATTTTATTGTATTTTATGACTGATAATAACCCGGTATAATCGGTTATACAGCATGCACTCAGTTCATATAATTATGTTTATTGTATGGATATATATATTTTATTGTATTTTATGTTATTTTACTTTATTTATTTGTTTTATTTTATCTATTTACTTTACTTGAATCCATGTATTGAATTATTTCTATTTATCATTTATATTTTTATATTTAAACAAATTGTTTGAACGGGTATAGAAATTTGAATGTTGTTTCGCATAAATGTTTGAACCTGGAATCAGTGCAAAGAAACATTCCAAGAGTTTCAAAAATATCTGATGATGACCTGTGGAGCAGGTAGAAAACATTCGTAGGATAATAAATATTACTTCTCGGAACCACAAGGAGTTTGAGTCAAAATATAATGCTATGATTAAAATTGATTGTGTATAAAGTTATGTGTACCAATAGCATATGCTTAGCATTTCTTTTAATGGGATGTTTTAAATGGTTAAATGTGATCTGATAGTACTGTAAATTACAATATAATATTAAAGAAGATTGTTCATATATCATCTAGATAAATATATAAATTTTACAGTTTAAATAGTAAGAGTAATGTCAATGAATTTTATTCCTAGTAGAATTGTTCCTAGTTATTCCTTATAAAAATGTTTACAAATTATTATGCAAGTACAGTTTATACACGAGATTTTATCATTTACTTTTGTAAAACAGATATTTTCTAATGCTTTGAAATCTGCAGTAGTGTGATTCAAACAACAAAAATACTCAGATGTAGAAGTAACAGGAATTTTTTTGAATGTCTCAACTGTTCAATTATAGAGATTGTTATAAACAGATAATTTCATTATATTAGATTATTTATATTTGAAAACTTTATTTGTTAAATTATCAGATTATAATCAGTTTTGTATAATATAAAGTACAGTTTAAATCATATTCCAAGCCTCTCCGTATGATTGATTAAATTTATTTACTAATATCCATAATATCAATATATAGTGCCAATCTCATATTATTTAATTAGATTGAGATTGTAATAAATACAAACATAATAATTATTATGAATCAGAACTAACTTGACTACTTTTTCATATTTTGTTATCTTTTCAGTATTGTTCTTGCAGCAGCAGAAGGTGAAATTGTCTCGGATCCAGATGTCCAACGATCAGCTTTAAATGTCATTATAAATTGTGTTTGTGGTCCAATGTCTCGAGTAAGTTTACTTCCAAAGTGAAAAGCTAATTGATTAATTAATTTTAAAAAATATTTCAAGTAGGTAAATTTCTTTATTTAAAGAAATTTACCTACTTTATTTAAAGAAATTTCTTTATTTAAAGAAATTTATGCTTATTTCATAAATTTATGCTTATTTAGCATAAATTTCTTTATTTAAAGAAATTTATGCTAAAATATTTAAAACCAAAATTAGTATAATTTTTAGGTAAATTAATTATATTTTTATTTATGTTAAACATAAATTGAACTGTTAGGTAGTTTTTGATTATAACTTTAGCTGTAACTTAATTTAGCCATAGTAGAATGTGAAAACAATGCCATTTTAGACCTTGTTGTGGATTATATTATATACAAGTTGACCACTGATTTTTCAGACACTTTATTCTAAAGCCTTGCAGACCAACTAAGATTACATAATAATAATTCAAAAGTACATTCTGGACAACTAATTAATTAATATAGCTCCCGTGTCTTTAAATCATTATAGATTGCTAGAAACTAAAATTAAGCATATATTAATTAAATGTTGACTGGTGTTTTACATTTGATACTATTGACATACACATTTTTAGAAGACAAAGTTAGGTCTAAAACTTACACAGAATAGAATCAACAACAACTGTGATATAGACCAGGGATGGCAAACCTTTTTGAGTTTGTGTGTCACATAGTAAGCATATTAAGCATATTTTTCTTTAAAAATGATTGTGTGTGCAGAAGTTTTAGACTTCTAGTAACTATATTTAAATTTGATGGCATGGTCGAGCGGTCAAAATGGTAGCTTATCGCTCTTGTGGACCCGAGATCAAAGCCCCAGAAAATTTTCAGGTGGTGATCCATTCTTCACCATCCAACTGTTCCATTTGGAGTTAGCTAAATAAAAAAGCCCTCTTAGTGCCCACAGGGCAAAAAGAGTTTTAAAAAACTAAACTTAAATAAATAAAATAATATGCTATAATTAGAGTAAATGTAAAGAACCTGATTGAAAAAGATAATGAACCAATATCATATAATATGTTACGTGCCGGATGATTTCTTTGACGTGCCACTTTGGGTACGTGGGCCATAGGTTCGCCACCTTTGATATAGACAATTCAAGTGAAAGTGTTGCATACATGCAATGATTGTTTAGTAAATAAGACTGGTGATTGTGGAATTTTAAGTGCCTTCTTGTAATTTTATCTGGATTAAAAGGCATACTAGATTATCCATTGTTGTAAATCAGTGTTGAATCTGTATATGTTTGTTATTATTTATTGTAATCATAAAATAACCAGATAGTTTGATTGAATTTTATTTCTGTAATTTATAATTATACTTAGTTTTTTGGAAAGCTATCCTTGGATAATGACACATCTACATTGTTAATGTAGTTTTTAAAAATAATTTTGGAAGACTTCTCATTCCCATTTCCTGAAATGTATTTATATAGAAGTAGTTTATTTTCATCATGTGCAAAATTTAGAGTTTGTAAATTTACAACTTTTTAAATTATCAGTAATTTGGTAAGTGAAAATTGGAATACTGGTTTATCAATAATTTACCAGTACATTTTTTCTGAAAAATAATATGTTAAAGGTAATGAATACAAGAATATTTGGTTTGTGCTTCATATTAATTTCAAACACAAAATATTGGATAGAACACTAACAAAATATTTCATGTAGTTTTTTAATTGTAAAGAAATATTTAAATATTTTAATAACCAATTTATAAAAATATTAATGAAAAATATAGAAGAAATGGTGATATTAAAATGTAAGCATACAAAGATTACTATAGATATAATAAATATTTTTTTATAAATTAACATTTTTTAAAAAGTATGTTTACAAGAAGCTTAACTTATCCAAAGTTTTGTCTCCTAATTGGAATCTAATTTTGGTGCAAAACAATCCAGCTGCTGGAAATACTCTCGGCTTCCATACTTGTTGCAGGGCTGAGATTATATTAGATAGTAAATTTAGTTTTTTGTCATTAATATTTATGTCTAATTTTCAATCTCTCAGACTGTTTTGAACAGCATCTTTAAGAAATGAAAATCATTCTAGCATGCTTAATAAGCTGTTCTATAAAGTCTTACAATCTGAAATTAAAGAAAATTCTTTATATGCAATTTTTTTCATATGTTTCAGTAGTATGTTATCGTTTTTTGTTGGGAATTTTCTAAAAAGTCTTAATAGTTTTTGTATTTTTGTTATTAAAGAATATAATTCCAAATTTTGTAAAACAAGTTTGGTACCAAATAAATCTTCTTGCTTTACTTCAAAAGTTTCATCATAATTTTTGATGTCTTCATCTTCCTTACCTGAATTATTAGAATCAGTAGTAAGTAGTAAATTAGCATCATATTGATTTTCATACTGTTTGTTTATTGTGCTCACATTACGTAGTCCATGTGTGAGGCATAACTGATTATTTTTATTAATTAATTTTATTGTTTTCTTCATTACAGCAGCTCTAACCATTGTTATACAGACAATATTTGCCGAAGAGATATTAAACTGTTTTAATTTATTTTCAATTAATTTTGTGCATATCTCAGCATGCACAGATCTGAATACAACTCAATCCAAGATTCCAAATTTTACCATCATTTCCATGAACATTAATATTAGTTTTGCAACGAATAGTATATTCGGCTTCAGGCTGAATACCGAATATTCGGCCAAACTATTTGGCTTGATTAATGCATGTACAAAAATTGGCACCCAAACCGCATTATAATATGGACCCTGCTCTCTATTGGCACGCTATCACTACGCTTCGCCAATCGCGTTAATTCTTGACAGTTGTAGCAGACAGACAAGAGCGTCATGGCATTATATGATAAATGATGATATCAAATGACTTAATCAACACCTGATCACTCGCTGAGAGATTTATTCTTTAAACAAACATTTTCAATCCAATCAATGGATCATCGTCAGGTTAATTAGAACACTTCAAAAAATAGAACAACAAGTTCAAAATACAAAATATAAATATTAATAACCGATAACATATATGCTATTAATAGCCAAATAATGTTTTTAAATAATATAATTGATACAAATGCTGCTAATACTAAAAATAAAATAAAATAGTCAAATATAACAAACAAATTGTGTATACAAAATATTAATACCTCTAACTTAATAGACAAACTGTTAATACTAAATATTAATATTGCTTACTAAACTATACAGAGTTTCTCTACTTACCTATACAGAGTTTTTACTACAAATATTATTAAAGCTCTTATTTGAAGTTTTTAATTGCAAACTTCCATGTGGAAGGAAGTCCCTCTGCATCTCTTGTGTTGATGCAATTCCCTTTAAGTTTGCTTCTATAAATTTCTAATTTTTCAGCCGTTCTTGCCAAAGTCGGGGAGTGTATCTGTTTCAGGATATCCGCTTCATCCCATTGTACTATTAAACCTTCCGTTTGTGCCATTTGAGCCAATACTGTGGCATTAGAACTTTTTCTAATATCATATCCGTGCTCTTTTATCCTTACACCTAGGTTTCTAGTAGTAACTCCAACATATTCTGTATTTATTCCTAACATCTGATTCTCGTATGGGATCTTATATACACCCGACCTATCTTCTTTTTTAACTACCCCTTTATCGTTTCTAAGTATTCTGTACAAATTTAGAGCTCTTTTTAAGACCATCCTCGTATCTTTTGTTGTGTGAATCTATGGTGTAGTTGTTGTCTGTATGCTGTCATGTTTGTTTCGAGTTTTGTGATTGCGTAGTAAGTACAGCTGATAAATTTGTTCATTTCTGATGTCCATTTCATCCGTTGGCGTGGTTTTCCAGCCTTTGTGGTCTGTGGATGCATTGCGACAGAAACACCAAGGCTAGGTTGATTCTTCACATCTGTTGAGGTCATTGCAGTAGCCATGCTTTTGGCTGGCATTGCTTTTGCCACTGGTAACCGAGGGAGACTGAGGGCCTATTTTTCGAACGTGAGCCTCTGCCTAATCCACAAATGCAGACCTTGTTAACCCAGGTGACGTTTGAGCCGGTATCACACTTTGATCTGGTTACTACCATGATAAATATCTCTACAGAATGTGGGTGTGGTCACTCTTAGCTTCATTTCAATGCATAGACCTTACTGGCGTGGGTGCCCCTACCAGGAGCTTGTGCTCCAGCCTGCATTGCCCTATGGATCAGTAAAATTACTGGGCTCTCCCACCACGACCAGGTGGTGACCACGGGAGAGTTATTATTATTATTATTATTAAACAGACATCAACACATGTGAGCAAATTTATTTTACATACAATTTCTTAGAATACATAAAAATGCATGGTTTGTAATAAAGAATAAACGAACATCGTCTTATTTCATCAGTGCTGTGACAGAGAATGAAATACAAGCTTAAGAAACACAACAACTGTGATAAAAATATATGAATAAAACTTGAAATTAACAGAATATGTAAAAGTTCGCGTCACACCTTTTACCATGTGATGATGGCACATTGGTTGCGAAACCGTAGTCTAAAACACTGTTTACACGTCTTTTGTTGCTGTACAATCAAAGTAATACCAGACTGAATTTTCATTTATGGCTACAACAAACAAAAACATTATGTAGAAAAACATTCAAAAAACATGTAAAATTACAATCACTAAATTTCTGATAATCAATTTATAAATATAAAATATAGAAAAAACAATATAATAAGAAAATATAAAATACAAATCTTCTAATCTGAATACCAGTATTTTGAACAATATCATACTTACTAAAATATAAAAATAATAAAAGATTGTTAATGCATTGAAATGCATTAACAATTTTTAAATTGAATTGAAACATTACATTTTTAATAATTTGTACATGAACAAAAACAAAACAATTCTTGCAAAAGTAATAATTATAATTAATATGTATTATGTACTTACCTATATTTTACTTTGAATACACTTTTTAATATAAACACAATTCAATACAGTAAACAACATTACAGTATAACAAACTGTATAATAAAAGCACACAAAAACAATAATAGAACTCCTGAAATGCAGAATACAAGTCTGTATACTGATATGATTTTTTATACTTTCTACATTTCTAGAACTTTCTACCACTTCATAACATACAATGTGTATCGTATGTCAGCAAAAATAATACGGTGTCACGTGTTATGTCTATGCTGGCACTAGCTGACAAATTGTCAGAATAGACAGTACAGTATGGATATTGTATATAAAAACTTTGAATGCAGATTTTTTATTTACCGAATTATCATTAAAAATTTTGAATGGATATTTGGTGACTACCAGTAAACCAGTTTACCTGTAAGTCGATTGTTAAATAAGTTTACCAGTTTTACAATCCCTAGAAAAATTGCATATGTGAAAAAGAGGGAAAACCTCTAAACAGAAGAAACAAATGATAAAAATTCCCAATATATGTGTAGTCAACACTAATTAATGATTATGCATATGTTTTGCTACCCTTTACTATTATTATGTCTAAAATTTTTTGAAGATAACTTAAAAATGTATATAATTATTTTAAAATATTCTTTTTTTAAAGATGAGTGGTTTACCAAGCAAACCTTCCGGAAGTAATATTAAGAAAAAGTCATCATTACGAAGTGGAGAAGATTTACTTAGTAAGATGTGGAATTGTGTTCGATCAAATAATGGAATTATGGTATGATATCTCTAACCAGAAATGCAATGCTTTTATTTGATAATTACATATGAAATTATTATTACAGATTCTTCTCAATTTATTAATGGTGAAAACTCCAATAACTGATGCAGATTCAATCCGAACTCTGGCTTGTAAGGTAAAGTAACTAAAATTCAAGTAATGTAGATCATGTTATATTTAATTTTGATTAATTACAAAATGGTTGGATTAAGAGTTGAACCAAATAAAATCAAATTTTATTTTTAAACATTTTTTTGCATTTCTCTGAATTTAATATTAGTGTTTTGGTCCATATAAAATTTGTTTAAGTGAATTACTTAAAACTGAATTGGATTACAAATATGAATAAATTACCAGAATGACAGTTAATTATCACTTACACAGATGAAGCACTAAGTTAAAAATAATAATAATAAATTTATTCATGTGATATATTTTAATTGTGCCATTACCATAGGCACTTTTATGTTATTTTTATGTATGGAGGAAAATGACAGCTCTCAAAGAAAATTTCAACTTTATCATTGAATCATTTGTGAGATTCATTGGATCTCAAGGGTATAAAGGAAGACAAAGTACAAAGATACTTATTATTACTTTAGAATTTTTATACGTGTCGGATAATTACTTAATACAATGTTTTTAATCAATAATTAGATCAATTTTATTAAATACTTTTTTGTCAAATATTATCTTGCGTTTCTGGCTCTGTGTTGTTATAATGCTTATTTTCAGGTAGCCAACTGTTTAAATTTTTTGTGAAGGAATGTTTTCATTCTGTTTTAGGACAGCTTCAGCTTCTTAATCTACACAAATCATTGTTCCAACTGAATGTGAACATTTTTGACATAATGAACAATATTTCAAAATGATACATTTTCAAATTTTACATAATTTTTGATGGATTGAATGAAAATGTATCCTTTTGAAATATTGTTCATTATGTCAAAAATGTTCACATTCAGTTGGAACAATGATTTGTGTAGATTAAGAAGCTGAAGCTGTCCTAAAACAGGACAAAAAACATTTCTTCATGAAAAAGTAAGCATTTTATACAGATCATATTTTTTACTTTTTCCTATTAAAATTTTTAAAATATGACGAAAAGTGTAGAAAAAATAACAAAATGCATATTAAAGATGCAAAAATTTTATGCTTACAATTTACAATTAAAATTGTTTTTCTGAAATAATAAATGTTTTTTATTTCTGTAACTTTTATCATTTTTAAGTTTTTAATTGATCAATCCTCTTTAGCCTCTATTTTAGTTGTAAAACAGAAATTTAATANAAACAAACGTTTTCAATCCAATCAATGGATCATCGTCAGGTTAATTAGAACACTTCAAAAAATAGAACAACAAGTTCAAAATACAAAATATAAATATTAATAACCGATAACATATATGCTATTAATAGCCAAATAATGTTTTTAAATAATATAATTGATACAAATGCTGCTAATACTAAAAATAAAATAAAATAGTCAAATATAACAAACAAATTGTGTATACAAAATATTAATACCTCTAACTTAATAGACAAACTGTTAATACTAAATATTAATATTGCTTACTAAACTATACAGAGTTTCTCTACTTACCTATACAGAGTTTTTACTACAAATATTATTAAAGCTCTTATTTGAAGTTTTTAATTGCAAACTTCCATGTGGAAGGAAGTCCCTCTGCATCTCTTGTGTTGATGCAATTCCCTTTAAGTTTGCTTCTATAAATTTCTAATTTTTCAGCCGTTCTTGCCAAAGTCGGGGAGTGTATCTGTTTCAGGATATCCGCTTCATCCCATTGTACTATTAAACCTTCCGTTTGTGCCATTTGAGCCAATACTGTGGCATTAGAACTTTTTCTAATATCATATCCGTGCTCTTTTATCCTTACACCTAGGTTTCTAGTAGTAACTCCAACATATTCTGTATTTATTCCTAACATCTGATTCTCGTATGGGATCTTATATACACCCGACCTATCTTCTTTTTTAACTACCCCTTTATCGTTTCTAAGTATTCTGTACAAATTCAGAGCTCTTTTTAAGACCATCCTCGTATCTTTTGTTGTGTGAATCTATGGTGTAGTTGTTGTCTGTATGCTGTCATGTTCGTTTCGAGTTTTGTGATTGCGTAGTAAGTACAGCTGATAAATTTGTTCATTTCTGATGTCCATTTCATCCGTTGGCGTGGTTTTCCAGCCTTTGTGGTCTGTGGATGCATTGCGACAGAAACACCAAGGCTAGGTTGATTCTTCACATCTGTTGAGGTCATTGCAGTAGCCATGCTTTTGGCTGGCATTGCTTTTGCCACTGGTAACCGAGGGAGACTGAGGGCCTATTTTTCGAACGTGAGCCTCTGCCTAATCCACAAATGCAGACCTTGTTAACCCAGGTGACGTTTGAGCCGGTATCACACTTTGATCTGGTTACTACCATGATAAATATCTCTACAGAATGTGGGTGTGGTCACTCTTAGCTTCATTTCACCCCATAGACCTTACTGGCATGGGTGTCCCTACCAGGAGCTTGTGCTCCAGCCTGCATTGCCCTATGGATCAGTAAAATTACTGGGCTCTCCCACCACGACCAGGTGGTGACCACGGGAGAGTTATTATTATTATTATTATTAAACAGACATCAACACATGTGAGCAAATTTATTTTACATACAATTTCTTAGAATACATAAAAATGCATGGTTTGTAATAAAGAATAAACGAACATCGTCTTATTTCATCAGTGCTGTGACAGAGAATGAAATACAAGCTTAAGAAACACAACAACTGTGATAAAAATATATGAATAAAACTTGAAATTAACAGAATATGTAAAAGTTCGCGTCACACCTTTTACCATGTGATGATGGCACATTGGTTGCAAAACCGTAGTCTAAAACACTGTTTACACGTCTTTTGTTGCTGTACAATCAAAGTAATACCAGACTGAATTTTCATTTATGGCTACAACAAACAAAAACATTATGTAGAAAAACATTCAAAAAACATGTAAAATTACAATCACTAAATTTCTGATAATCAATTTATAAATATAAAATATAGAAAAAACAATATAATAAGAAAATATAAAATACAAATCTTCTAATCTGAATACCAGTATTTTGAACAATATCATACTTACTAAAATATAAAAATAATAAAAGATTGTTAATGCATTGAAATGCATTAACAATTTTTAAATTGAATTGAAACATTACATTTTTAATAATTTGTACATGAACAAAAACAAAACAATTCTTGCAAAAGTAATAATTATAATTAATATGTATTATGTACTTACCTATATTTTACTTTGAATACACTTTTTAATATAAACACAATTCAATACAGTAAACAACATTACAGTATAACAAACTGTATAATAAAAGCACACAAAAACAATAATAGAACTCCTGAAATGCAGAATACAAGTCTGTATACTGATATGATTTTTTATACTTTCTACATTTCTAGAACTTTCTACCACTTCATAACATACAATGTGTATCGTATGTCAGCAAAAATAATACGGTGTCACGTGTTATGTCTATGCTGGCACTAGCTGACAAATTGTCAGAATAGACAGTACAGTATGGATATTGTATATAAAAACTTTGAATGCAGATTTTTTATTTACCGAATTATCATTAAAAATTTTGAATGGATATTTGGTGACTACCAGTAAACCAGTTTACCTGTAAGTCGATTGTTAAATAAGTTTACCAGTTTTACAATCCCTAGAAAAATTGCATATGTGAAAAAGAGGGAAAACCTCTAAACAGAAGAAACAAATGATAAAAATTCCCAATATATGTGTAGTCAACACTAATTAATGATTATGCATATGTTTTGCTACCCTTTACTATTATTATGTCTAAAATTTTTTGAAGATAACTTAAAAATGTATATAATTATTTTAAAATATTCTTTTTTTAAAGATGAGTGGTTTACCAAGCAAACCTTCCGGAAGTAATATTAAGAAAAAGTCATCATTACGAAGTGGAGAAGATTTACTTAGTAAGATGTGGAATTGTGTTCGATCAAATAATGGAATTATGGTATGATATCTCTAACCAGAAATGCAATGCTTTTATTTGATAATTACATATGAAATTATTATTACAGATTCTTCTCAATTTATTAATGGTGAAAACTCCAATAACTGATGCAGATTCAATCCGAACTCTGGCTTGTAAGGTAAAGTAACTAAAATTCAAGTAATGTAGATCATGTTATATTTAATTTTGATTAATTACAAAATGGTTGGATTAAGAGTTGAACCAAATAAAATCAAATTTTATTTTTAAACATTTTTTTGCATTTCTCTGAATTTAATATTAGTGTTTTGGTCCATATAAAATTTGTTTAAGTGAATTACTTAAAACTGAATTGGATTACAAATATGAATAAATTACCAGAATGACAGTTAATTATCACTTACACAGATGAAGCACTAAGTTAAAAATAATAATAATAAATTTATTCATGTGATATATTTTAATTGTGCCATTACCATAGGCACTTTTATGTTATTTTTATGTATGGAGGAAAATGACAGCTCTCAAAGAAAATTTCAACTTTATCATTGAATCATTTGTGAGATTCATTGGATCTCAAGGGTATAAAGGAAGACAAAGTACAAAGATACTTATTATTACTTTAGAATTTTTATACGTGTCGGATAATTACTTAATACAATGTTTTTAATCAATAATTAGATCAATTTTATTAAATACTTTTTTGTCAAATATTATCTTGCGTTTCTGGCTCTGTGTTGTTATAATGCTTATTTTCAGGTAGCCAACTGTTTAAATTTTTTGTGAAGGAATGTTTTCATTCTGTTTTAGGACAGCTTCAGCTTCTTAATCTACACAAATCATTGTTCCAACTGAATGTGAACATTTTTGACATAATGAACAATATTTCAAAATGATACATTTTCAAATTTTACATAATTTTTGATGGATTGAATGAAAATGTATCCTTTTGAAATATTGTTCATTATGTCAAAAATGTTCACATTCAGTTGGAACAATGATTTGTGTAGATTAAGAAGCTGAAGCTGTCCTAAAACAGGACAAAAAACATTTCTTCATGAAAAAGTAAGCATTTTATACAGATCATATTTTTTACTTTTTCCTATTAAAATTTTTAAAATATGACGAAAAGTGTAGAAAAAATAACAAAATGCATATTAAAGATGCAAAAATTTTATGCTTACAATTTACAATTAAAATTGTTTTTCTGAAATAATAAATGTTTTTTATTTCTGTAACTTTTATCATTTTTAAGTTTTTAATTGATCAATCCTCTTTAGCCTCTATTTTAGTTGTAAAACAGAAATTTAATACAAGATCAGACAAAAATAATTTAAGACTAACTCTTTCACATACGTTTTTATTTTTTATTTAGGAACACTAAGAGTGTCTTAGATTTGCATGTCTATCATGAGTTTAAACAAGCTTGTAAGGCATAGCTGAATGATGACGGACAGTATCTGACTTATCCGGGTCAATCATTCACACAAATTTCTAGATTACTGACTCAAAAATCACAAAATCATGCCTTTTTTTAAACATGACATTGATTTTACTATTAATAGAAGTTTCACAAAGAAATTTTCATACAGAATTCTAATTTTGCATTTAATGTAATAAATATGAAACAATATTAAATTTTATTTTTTATTCTTTTTATTTATAGGCTTTATGTGGATTGGCAAGATGTGAAACAGTTAAGCAAATCATCAGTAAACTTCCACTTTTTACAAATGGACAATTACAAGGTTAGATTTTATAATTTATTGAAAATGGAATTACATTACTATTAAGTATCATATTTTAACTTTAATAGCAATAAGTTCCAAAGCCCAAACTTATAAGCAAAATAATTATGTTGTATTAAATTAGAGATCATATCCATTTCAGATTTATATCATTTTTATGATGCATTAGATCTACTGTATATAACGATTATCAGCATTTGCATATAGTTATATTTATATTATTTGCTGTAAAGAACTATTATGATGTGATCTCTGTTTACATGAAGAATGAGTTCCTAGAGAATGTATTTATATATTCATTTAAATAATAGATTTGTGACAAATGATTTCTTCATTTTTCCTCCTGAAATGTATGTATTATTTGTGAAATTTGGTTTAAATTTGCAATTAAAATTGGTTTTAGAATACTGAGATGATATTTATAATGAATTAGATTATAATTTTTTTTCATATGCACCCAAAGATGTTTGTGCACACAGTTCAAGAAGGAAAATGCCATCCTAGTTGGCCAGTGATGTTGCCAGATGCCAATCCAATCAATGCCAATCAAAAATGTGTGGTCATATATAAAGCATAAACTTCAAAAAAAGTTTGCATACAATCTCAAGCAACTTCTGAACAGTTAATTATTATACTCTAAATTTCACCCATTTGTATCACTTGTAGCATATTCTCATTGTAAAGAGCACCATATGTGACAAGTTCTGTTCAGAAGTTGCTTGAGATTGTATGCAGGCTTTTTTTGAAGTTTATGCTTTATATATGACCACACATTTTTGATTGGCATTGATTGGATTGGCATCTGGCAATATCACTGGCCAATTGTGGATCAACTGGCCAACTAGGATGACATTTTCCTTCTTGAACTGTGTGCACAAACATCTTTGATGTTTTGGTTCATTATGTTTTTGTAACAACCACTATCAAATGTAACAATGATTCATATCAAAGAAAAGAATTAGCTCGGACTCTGGGCTGTTTCTTTTCTTTCGGAAATTCTAACTTTAAATTAATGTACTATAATTATTAAAATTATCACAAGATGGTGACTAAACTGCCTGCTTCAAGACAATTACTTTGTATCTAATTATTAACATAGTCTAAACATAGCTTGATAATTTGGCAGATTGTATGGCTTTAATCAAAAATCAGGTTTTCTGGGTTGTTGTTTATCTATATATTTTCATCATAATATCAAAAGAAAACCTTAAATGTGGATGTCTTAAAAAGCACACATTGTTAATTTTAGACAGAACAGGTTTGGATTTTTAATTTTTGTTATAGAACACCTATATATTCTAAACTAGAATATAAGATCTCTAAATTGTAAAACTGGCTTTATGTTGGTCTATGAATAAGCTAGAAACGTTCATCATATGCATTAAATTTTGTGCTGGTTTATGAGAATAAGATTGTTTCTTTTTGGATTATTCTTTATCCAGTTTCAAATGAGTCATGTTTGTATGTCAGCATGCTTTTCTGACAAAAAGCAGTTATTGCATAGTGGACCAGTTTTTAAGATTTTTTGTTTTTTTATAGGTGATATCTAATTGTATTTATTCCAACCTCTATATCTTGTTACAAAGCAAAACTTGATCTTGGCACAATGTTAAGTTTGGACAAGTTCATAAAGTCAGTATAGCTTTGTCCTGTTTATCTGTCATCATACAATTTGTTCACTTTCTCTGGCAACTCATCTATGTTTTTAATCTTACATAAACTCACCCAGTTTTTCATGAATGACTTTGACTTTTTAATTGATTTTTGCAGCTGTTGCAGTTGATAATTTCAGTTCCATTGAGTTAGTTACTAAGAACACTGCTTCATAACACTAAGCATTTTGCACTCATTTCGAAAAGAGCCTGTTTCAAACAACAACAGTGTTTTGTAAACCAGTTGATATGGTACTGTGCAACAGAGCACACTTCAAAGTTGCTGACCACATTTAACAGATAGAATTGTGAAAATTTTTCTCAAAGGTTTCCATACATGCTTCTGTGGCACAGACTATAAAGGAAATTTATTAGAAAACTTTTTTTCATGAAGTTCATCTGAAAGTTAACTGAAAAAATATGATTTAAAATATTTGGATAATTGTAAATATCATTCACTGTAATCTTCTAATATCTTGATCTTAGCAATTTTGTAAGCATTTTTTAAAAAAATTTCTGTATGAATGTAAAGCATATTGTTTTAATTTTTACATCTCTAATATAATATTGATTTCAACAATAAATAAGTTTTAAGATTGTTATTTAAAAACTCATATAAAGTAGGACCATATAAATCACAACTATACTATACTAACTTATCTCAAGGATGCCAAGAGCTTCTTATAATATAAAGCTTGATAGGGTTTACAATAAGATTACTGAGAGATGAGGATGGAATCCTAATATAATGGGGCCATGTCACACTGAAAAATCCCTGAGGATCTTTCTTGGATTTAAGCCAATGGTCTTCACATAGAATGTCTCATGCTTTGACCATCTGTTCACTTATATTATAATTTGAATACAATTATCATCTTGCTATAAACATATGAATTATAATTTTGTGCATTTTCTAATCTAGTTTTTCATCATAATAATTTTTTAATATGTTTTTAAAACTGTTAAATATTTATATTTTTATTAATAATTATAATGTTCTGAAACATTAAAAATGCTACAGAAATTTCTAATTTTTGTAATGTTATATCAAAATGGTATAATAATGTGCTATTTACAATTGTAAATAACTTATAATTTCTGAATTAAGTTGTAAAAGTTAAAAAGATATATATATATAGTTAGTTTATATATTTAAGGTAATCTTATTACATATATATATATAGTGTAATGATTATCATAATAATTGTTTGATAAATTATGTAAAAGTTGAAATTTTGATTTTTAATATCTATTAAAATTTTCTTTGTTCCTGTAAATTTTATATTATATATTTATTTTCAATTATTTTATAGTCTTAATGAGAGAACCAGTATTGCAAGATAAAAGGCAAGAGCATGTCAAATTCTGCAAGCATTGCCTGGAATTAATAGAAAGAGTGACTGGTGCACCATTAACAACAGGAATTGAGTCTTCCATTTTAAAAATTAATAAAGTAATTATTACTTTGATCTCTTTTATAGTTTTTAAATTATGCTCTGCATAATTAAAAAATCTTATTATTTAAATAGGCAGAAGTTGTGGCACAGACAAAAATTGTATTTAATGAAAAAGAGTTATTGCAGTTGATACAACAGCATTTAATGAATAAAGGTAGGTTATAAATACAAAAGACACAATTTATATTTACTTTATTTATTTTATGAAATAATTACCAGTTTTTTTGCTTAAATGTAACATTAAAACTTTTTGGATACTGTATCATATTTATACACTCAATTTCTTAAATTGTTTTCATTCTTTAATAGTTGTTAAGGTAAGCTTATTAATCAAGAATATTTAATTAACATTATAAGTGGGTACAATATTGAAATGCACATGGTTTTTTTGATAGCTATTTTTTTTAATTAATTTTTCTGCTCTGTGGGCACTGAAGATGGCCTTTTTGTGCTCATTGTGTATTCAATCAATCTGTAAAGGATAGCCAGGTGGCTGGGAATGTGTGTGTTATGTATCTAGATTGACCCACTGTGAAAATTGGTGAGGTAATTGGATCAAAATTCATAATTGTAGTCTGATGCTTTTTATTGACTTGACAGCCAGCCATTAAGTAGTACTTTTAATTGAAAGTTAGAAAATTACTCATTGAAATTTTGATTTCTTTATGTAATAATTAATAATAATAATACCATTTGAAAAATTTGTCTGTGACAATATAGAAGTACAGTTGAACTCTGTTATAATGAGCATAGGGGACTAACAAGATTTACTCGTTATAACCACTACTCATTATATCTGTGAAGAGCAGTGTTGTAACTAGGAACTTACTAAATAGAGGGGTTCCCAATGGGTGGCAAAATTTGTAGTTACACTACCAATAATTGGTGAAATCTATTTTTTAATTTTTAATATATAAGTTGATTAAAAAAATATGTAATTGCATTATACTGTATTTTTAATAGTTATATAAACTACAATATAATTAATTTTATAACGTAATTTCACTAGCATGTTGTGGCATTACAAAATTACGCTAGTGAAATTACGTCATAAAGTTAAATGTTAGTGTGAAGTGTACTTTTCTTTTATTACAATATAATTAATATTAAACAATTTATTATTTTGTAATTGAAGATAATATTAAGTAATAATATGTCTGATTTCAGTTATTCTTTTTATCGATAAATTTTAAAATTAATGATTGCTTTATTTTTTTGATACTGTCGAAGATGACAAAGAAAACTTTCTAGACACTTAAACAATTTTAGCACAACGTTCTAACTCACAAATAATTTCTACTTTTTTATAAACTGAGAGATATTTTTTTCTACATAGACATCCTTCTCATATACTCTAGTTAGAAATATTCATTTCTAACTAGAGTATATGGTAATTTTATAGTTGTAGTGATGATTAAGTAAATTGACAGAGTAGGCTGGGAGCTAGTCAAGAAAAAGGAGGATAGTCTCCAAAAAGAAAGTTACTAAGTGATAAATAGACCTGTAATCCATGCAGGTCATAAAACTAAGTAATCCTTTCAGTTTTATCTATTTCAGGAATTCAGTACCACTTCTCCTACTACTTGAACAATTAAAAAGTGTTCATGTGTTTGCATAGCTACCAAAAATTTTGCTCAGTATATCTATGAAGTAAGCTCGTTATAACTGTGAGAAAATGTACAGAAATAAATGTAAATTAAAATTGTTGTGGCATTTTGCTCGTTATAATCAAGAACTTGTTACATTCAAGTTTGACTGTAGCAAGGTAAATAAAAGTTGTTGGTTTCTGTAATTTTTATTGGGTTGTACTTTTATGCCTGTTGTTTGGTGCATGATAATACAATGTCTCCACAAATGGCTTTACCTTTGTAAAATTAAATGGATAAATGAAAATAAAAGGTAACTCATATATCAAATTAAGTTCTTACTTTTGTTCTTTTCTGTAAAGACTCTTTTCATTTCAATCAAATATTACTTTTATTGAATAAAAGAACTGGCCCGGGACGGGGCTGAGTACCGTTAGGGTCGTGGGCGAAGGAGTCGTCCCCAGTCGGTGATGTATTTAACCAAGTAAGGTTATATCTAAATCTAATATACTTCTGGAAGCGAAGACTCGCTCGGGGTCTGGGTGGCGTAACTGGCAAGCGCACCGCACGGCAAGCGGAGATTACTTTTATTTATACTTTCAGACAATAATTTGATATTCATCTTTTATTAGTCAGTAATTGATGAGAACAAAATATCTTGATTTAATTAACAAAAAATGATCATCACATATGTATGATATTAATTGTCCATAGCTGTGTTTTATACTTTTAGCTTCTATACTCTGTAAAAGATCATTTTCGTTTAAACAGATACATGAAATCTACATTTAAAATGTATTATTAAATTGTTTTCTGTTATGGTAGAAAGTAAGTTAACATCTTTCTGACTACATCTGTTTAACATTAAAGATTCCACATATTTTCTGTTAGAGGAATTTTGTACAGTCAACTTCTATCATAGATAAAAATTTATATTTATACATATTTTGTATCAATTAGTGGAGCATGTATAGTACATATCACAAATCATGGCTGGGCTATTGTTATGAGCAGTTGTAAGGGCATAATGCCCTTACAACTGCTCATAACAATATTTACAGTTGTAAGGGCATAATGCCCTTACAACTGTAAATTTTTCATAAAAACATTCAAGTAAACATTTATTTACAGATATAATCTTAAACATGTCCACAGTTTATAATAATTCACACAAACTAAAGAAATAATATTGTTCTTAGAGGGAAGCACAGAAATTCAATATTCTTACATTTTGGAATAATTGTTTTTTTCAGTCTGTCTCTTAATTGGGATATCTCACTGACTCTTCTGCCATTAATACTAACTTTTAGCTTCTTTGTATTTTAAATTTCCATGCATTAAGCTAAGTTTGAACTTTGTTGACCACTCCAAAGTTCTCAGATGCTTCAAATTTTCATCAATTGACTTTCCAAAATTCTTCTTTCATTCTGTGGGAACACTAATTTCAAGATTGCCTAATTCAAATTTTGAGTCTAAAATAAATACAAATAACCAGTAATAATTATTCCTAGTCTAGCTTAGGACTTTTGCTACTTTCTAAATCAAACTTTCCTAATTTGAATTGTATTGAGTACTGTTGCAAGACGGCTGTTGAATTTTCATTGTTTCACATGGTCTGTTCCAAAATGTAATAACTGTACAAAATTAAATTTGTTATTTAAGAGTGTCTCAATTTTACTTTATTCAGTTATGTCATAGATTATTTTCTTAACTATGTTTAAATGCTTAAATTATAAAAAATATAACATAGTAATTTATTCTTGAATATATTCTATTTGGAATATCTTTTTGACAATTATTTATGATGTTATAATGTCAATCTATTTATTTTTATTTTTCCACACAATTAATTTCTATTGTTCCTAACGTCAGGTCTGATGAGAATTACACAAGTATGAGATACTCATTTTATTTATATAGACATAAGTGATAATTAATTACGTTGTTTATATAGATTTTAGATTATTTGGAAGTGCAGTTAATGTAAAACTTCTAGTCAGTTTGTAAAAATGAAATTTGTTACAGGTTTTACAGATTCTGCAGCAACTTTGCAGAAAGAAGCAGCACTTCCATCCACTATATTAAGGGTAACGTCATCATCACTTCAACCAGTTACCACAGTTAGTAAAATGGTGAGTTATAGTTAATTTCTAACTAATATTTCATATGGCTCTTTTTTTTTATTTAACGTCAATGGAAAAATAAAATAAAACACTCAGCACTTGTTTAGAAGGCAAATAGAGATCTCTGATTAATGTTTTTGAAATTATATATTCCAGCTTTAGATTCATGCAATATAAAAGAATCAAATAGAAAATAAACTTTCAATTGTGCAAGTCACATTCTGTGATATGTGCACATCGTGATGTATATAATAATGCTCTATGTTGCAATCAATGTTCAGTGTTCAGTTTGAGTTTTTGAAATCATTTGGCTCTGAACCTGGCTATAGTATTCTGAAGACATTTATCCAGAATAAATCTCATTTTCATTTCTAAAAAATGCTACCTCTGGGGACCCAGAATCGAATCTGAACTAGTCGAAAAATCCCCAGGAATTTTTTGAGGTGGTCCATCTGGATATGTCGGGCCCATCCCTCGAGATTAAATCTCATTTTCACTTCTAAAAAATGCTAGTTCTTTAATTTTCATATTTACTTAAGAACAATGTTGGAAATAGGAATTGAACAGATATTTTCAAGTATTTATATGTAATTAATTGCTTAATGTACCTGTACATAAACTAAAATTGGAATGATAAATTTAATAGAGAAATACATTGGACTTCGAACTCACATTTGAGTTATAAATAAACACTAGGCTTTATTTCCATCATTTTTAGTTGATACGTGACAAGTTGACTGATGAGGGGCTTTATGCCCGAAACGTGCTATTGTGACGTATCAACTAAAAATGATGGAAATAAAGCCAAGTGTTTGTTTATAACGCAAATGTGAGTTTGAAGTTCAATATATTTGCAAAACACGGTTTCAACAACAACAGAGAAATACATCTTGATACTCCAGCAATTTTTATTCATTGTTTTACATTGTTTTAATATTAATCATTTTTATTATTTCAGTTGTAGATCTATTGATGTTAGGTTGAAAATCAAGTGACTATTGAATAGATTAATTCTATGTATTGTATTTAAATTTATATTCCCTTAGAAAAAATTATCAAAGTCTTTTTTGCACAGTTAATTTAATTATCATTATTGTCATTTTTCTTACATTTAATTCCTACTTTCTTTTCATTTTATGACTATAAACAAATAGTTTTAGTCAAAATTATCAAGCATGCATATAGTAAAATGTGGATGTAATTTTACTTAATTCACTTTTTATTTATTTAAAAATTTTCTGTTTATATTTACAGTCAAGACCCATTAGCACATCCGGTAACATATGCCATCAAACGAGTTCCATTCTATCACCAAATTCCACAATAACACATCTCCCAATTTCTAATTCGTCCGTACTTCTTGAGCGACTTCAGTCAAGCGGAACTGGATGTACTAGTCCTTCAGTTAATTATTCATCTCCAAATTTACAAATTAAAATTCATCATCCACCATCAAGGTTGCAGGTAAAGATTTTTTTTTCCCTATTAAAGTAGACTTCTTTGAAGATTTTATCAATTAAAGAGTTTTATTTTGTTATATATTCCAGTGTGTAACACCAAAATCGATCAAAAATTCTGCTCTGCAGAAATCTCAAAGTTGTTCTGGAGAATATCAACCAACTCCTGTAATGAAACGTCAGTCACAAGCTAAAGCAGTTTCGATAACGTCGGCTTCATCTTCGTCTACAACAACAATCACTTTAGATTCAATAATTACAGAGTATTTAAGGAAGCAACATGCCTTATGCAAAAATCCTGTTGTGACTTGTCCACCATTTGATTTATTTGTGTAAGTAAAGATGATAATATATTAATTTTGATCATATATAATACAGTTTAATGCAAATTATTTAATTCTTTCAGACCACATCAATGTCCTGAACCTCAATACAGAAATTCTGCCCCAATGAATATTTCAGCAAGGTTACAAAAAACAAAAGTAAATTTAACCCTTATATCTATTTGCTTTATTACATAATTTTAAATATAGTACTAATAACACTTTTAACATTTTAGATAAATCCACCATTTGGTGGATATGATGGAGCAACAATGAATAGAAAATTTGTTTACAGTAGGTAAGTACTTTGTGATGTAAAAAGAAATTACAAGTTTTCAAAACTTTAAAAAGAATAATCTTCTAATTGAGAGTATTGCTAACATTTGTTTGTTTATTAATTTAAATATAGTTTCAATTTTTTGATGATATAAACTGGCAAAAAATAAAGTAATTTCTATTATATCAACCACACACCTTTCACCAGCAACAGTTTTTAATTCTGTGACCCTATGCATGAAACTTGTAACCCACAGGTGTGTTCAATTTAATAAAGTTAATGAACTGTACCTTTATTGCCTCACTACAGGTAAATACAAAATAATTATTTTTAATGTTAGCATTCATCAATGTGTTTGATAGTAAAACTTCAGTACTGTTACATTACATATATTAAAATACAGTGGGTGATTGGTAACGAATAAATTGGATAATGAACACTTTACGAAAAATTTTTATGATCGGACAACAAACACATATTTGGATAACGAACACTTCACTGAACAAACATAAAAAGAAGCGATGAAAATAGCAAATACCGATTAATTTTCTCTTGTCTTCGGGTAACTTTTTGGAGCACGGAAGATGTCAACGTTGATGCTCAACCCGATATATACTAATCAGATAGTATTTCTCGAACTTTGAAATACTCCCTTGTAATTCCAGCCTTTTATTTTTCTGACAAACAATTCTTTTATAGTATTCACGAGACTGTTGGACAGGCACTTGTTAAGTTTTGTGTCAGTTTTTATTTTCGAAAGGTGAGAGTATAATAGCAAAGGTAGAGAGTGGGCAAAAGATGTGTGATGTTGCTAGGCAGTATGGCTTGAACAAATCTACAGTAGGGCACAGTTCAGTCTTATCTAAGAAAGATACAGTATAATCAAGAAGACTCAAGCAGCTAAAGGAATAACAAAAATTACATCTGAGAAATAAAGAACATTGAAGAGCTTATAATGGAACCTGAAACAGATCTGATGACAGAAGAACACCAAGAACTCTTGAATGGAGAACACCAAGAAACTCAGTGAGAGATGTTTTATTATGAAAAAGAGGATTAATGCCAATATCTGCTATTAATTAAAGATCTTTTGAAGAAGTGGGGGATGCCAGATCGATGGTTTTAGAATGGCATACAAACCAGGTTGAGGTTAATAAGCTTGGGGATCTCTATAATTACAATGCTATTAATTACTTCTGAAAATCTTGAAGAAGAGAGAAAAGCAATTAGACAGATTCTTTAACCCCTACAAACAAAAAAAAACATAACCAATAAATATGCAAGACTGCGTATATATATACATTAGAGCGTCGTTTATCCGAAAGTTGGTTATTCGAAACGTCGGTTATCTGAAAGAATTCCAGTCGGCCTAAAGTATAATTTTTATTTGTTTTTATATTTTTCAATGTATTTATTTTGTTTGTAAAACATAAAGAAATCATTTTTAACGATACAATAGTCACGATTATTATTTTAAAAAGTATATGTTAGGCTTAACATTGATGAAAATTCAACGCGAAGCGACACGCAACGGAGAAAAATTTCAACACGGGATAGGTTAATATATTTTTTCGTACATGATTGGTTATCCGAAAAATAAGTTATCCGAACAACCCCAGTCCCCATTGCTTCGGATAAACGACGCTCTACTGTAGTTTGGATTTTTAATGTCATTGTTTATTCTTAAAATTTATTTATTACTATTAATTTCATTAGATGCATAAAATTGATTCAACATTTTATTATAATCTTTGCATATGGAAATACTTATGCATGTATTAATTCATATCCTAATTTAACTTCTATTAATAATTATATTTTTTATATTTTTGGGAATACAGATTATAACTTATTATGTAGAAGCCTTTTNAATTATTTTTTTATGTTTCACAAACAAAATATATATATTGAATAATATAAAAACGAAAAAATTTTATTTTAAAAGTTCGTTTTAATATAAAAATTGTGACGCAAAGCGACATCTAGTATCAAAAACGTTCCAATGTAAACACGGAAATATTCGGGATCGCCCACATAGGTCAATGAGGTCAATCCGAAAATTTTCGGGATTAACGTAGGACAGGTTAACCCCCACAAACGGAAAAAAATGTGACTAATAAAAATGCAAGACTGTATATATATATTTTATTATTACATATAAATAAATGTAGTAAGAAAGTATATATAGTATATATATATTTATTTTTTGGGGTCTCCAGAATGAATTAATCAAATTCCATATAAACCTATAGTAAATTCATAATCGGTTAATGAACAATTCGGATAGCAAACAAAGTCTTGGAACAGATTATGTTCGTTAACCGATCACCCACTGTACTAGAAATTCCCCTGCCAAGCATAGCAGACTACTTTCCATGAGAAAGTAGAGATTGAAGAATTGAGAAGAGTAGAGTTCGAGAAATTCAAGAAGAGTAACTAATATTTCTAAAAATTAAATAGCCTATGCTGCTTGTCGAAGCATAGTTAATGCACGATAATACATTTTAAACAACAGGCTCATTAGATCATTAGTTCCAATTGGATAATAGAACATCATGTGGTCACTGTAAAAATGTTTTTCTTTTAATTGTTGTAGAAGTGACACGATACAACTATCTTTTTTTAAAGTTTAAATTACACCATTTGCCAAAATATTTTAAAATGTAACTTAAGAGAAATTCTGACATCAAGCATGAACTAAATCAACATTTGTGAAATGTAATTGCTATTACAGATTCAAAATAGATAAAACATTTATTCTATGGCTAATATTTCTGCAAAATAAATAACTTATACTTTTTGTCAGAACATAGAACAAATATAAGCAAAATATCTGGATTGGACAAAAATTGCAGGAGTTATAAAGAATTCACACAGAGAGACAATGGCTTTTATATTATTAATGAGTGGCTTACAGAAGGAAAACCTCCATGCAAAAAATCTATATCCTACAGGATACTATTAAAATCTATCTTAACTATGATGAAGCATCTCAAAGAATGCACATTCCATTTGTAATCAGTCCTCTCTATCAGAACTGGATGCCTTCTTGACATTTGACTCTTCATTATGAAAAAGCACTGAAAGTCACATGCTTTTTCATAAACATAAAGCACCTAAGAGTCTTCAGCTATGATGTAAGCCCCGCATAGAAGTCCCACATAGAATACTCTGTAGGAATGTATGTGCACAGCTTTCGTATGGCTGTAAGGTTGGGAGCAGAAATTGACTGTTTCCCATTGTAGAGATGTGGAAGTGCTTCTTGGAAATTTTCCTCTCTTCCTGATGGACACTTCCCGTAAAGCTTCCATGGCATTATGAATGTACCCAATGAGCATTGTCCTTAGTTTTTCTGATGAAATTTTTATTCTTGTAGCTGTCTGGTTCTTAATCAGAAAAACAAATAAAGATTTTTTTATTTTTTTGATTAAGAACTTCTCCTTTTGTAAATAGCCAGTACAGCAGTATAATAGTCCTAAAAATCCGATAAGTTCAAGTTGACAATTTTTAGAATAAAGTAATTCATATTATTTATACATTGATGTTTGTATTTATATTTATTTTTTTATATTCATCTACTTACTGATTATATGAATGTATTTATGTATATTTTTTATTTCTATATTACTATTCATTTTCACTGATAGAATATAGGATTTGAATATAATCGGGCTGCAATTTGAAAAAATTGTAGACCTATCAATTTCCAGTCATTCATCTGTCTGACTTTCCTTAATCTCAAGAATGGAGTTAGTTAGATGAAAGTCAAGACTAGATATGGAAAGCTTAGGAGCAGAAGACCCTGATTAACTATATATAAATTTCCAGTCAAGTCTATACATAAGACACAGTGGTGTCAGAATCCTGATGTGGCATCTTGAAGTGGTGCTGACAATTCAATCGAGTGGTGCGGAAGCATACGGAGCACATTTTGCGCATTGTCACAGAAAGCTTGGGTGTAGGAGGTCCTAATTAACTATATATAAACTTCCAGTGCAAACCAGAAGTAATGTTATTTCAATTCAGAAACTTCCTCTGAAAAAAGTTAAATAGATGACTGACACAACTCTACTGCTAACAGAAAAGTATGATGTATAGGGACAAGACACTACTAACTTGAATTGGAGAGCATATATTTTAAGTTAAAAAATTATTAAAAATATGAATAAAAATTGCAGCCCAGCATTGTGATGATGTCACAATAAATAATTGCTTATTTAAATTCGTAATTTTTTCGTTCAATGATTCTTTTTATTTTTTTAATATTTGAAGACAAGTTCGCCCATATAGGAATCACCATTTTTTGCTTCTGCATTCTAGACAATACATTTCCGGCGACCGATCTTCCTTTCTAGGCTACTAGCTGCCAAAAAGTTTAAAAAGTCCTTTTAAAAAACACAAAAAAAAATATCCGATTAAAAACACAAAGATTTTCTAAAATCAGAACTGGTGTTATATACTTCCTTTCTAGGCTACTAGCTGCCAAAAAGTTTTAAAAAAGTCCTTTTAAAAAACACAAAAAGATTTTTGATCAAAAACACAAAGATTTGTGTTTTTAATTGGAAATCTTTTTGTGTTTTTTAAAAGGACTTTTTTAAAACTTTTTGGCAGCTAGTAGCCTAGAAAGGAAGGTCGGTCGCCGGAAATGTATTGTCTAGAACCAGGGCTGTGGTGTCGGAGTCAGAATCGTGGAGTTTTGGTGTTTTAGCTGGAGTCGGAGTTGGAGTCAGTAGATTTTTATGCGACTCCACAGCCCTGTCTAGAACGCAAAAGCAAAAAATGGTGATCCCTATATGGGCGAACTTGTCTTCAAATATTAAAAAATTGCTTATTTAAATTTAAAACTGGTGAATTCTTTTTGAAATGTGCTTACATTCAGATATTTGTTTAAAAAAAGTCTTTTTATCTTTGTATGTGAACCTGATGAAGGTTTATGAATGAGAATGAAAACATTAATTTATTTAACAATTGCTGCTGGAAAAGGTGTGATTGTGACTGTTTATCTTAAGCTCCAGTTTTGT